AACATCATCCAATTTGCAGTCTTCATCCAGTTCTCCATTTGACAAAGTTAGAATAAAGTACTGCGCGGAGTGTGAAGTCAATTGTAAATATATATTAAGTGGATTTTCCTATTTGGAAAATGAGAAAAGAAGAAATTATTCAATTCTTCAATTTACCTGTCTACCGATTTACCTATCAACCTCTTTATCAATTCACCATTTTACCTACCTACCAGTTAACCTGACAACCTATTTTCCTGTCAACTTGTTCATCAATCCACCAATTTATCTGTCAACCTGTTTCTCCCTCTACATATTTGTCTTGTCTATCATTTTACATATCCTCCTATTTACCTGTCCACCAGCTTACCTATCTACCAATTTACCTGTCTGCGTATCTACCTATCTATCTGTTTATCTGTTCACAAATTACCTGTATATCAATTACCTGTCTACCAATTTACCAATCAACCTGTTTATCAATCTACCATTTTACCACTTTACCTGTTTATCAATGTATCTGTCATCCCGTTCTACATGTCTACCAATTAACCTGTCAGCCTGTTTATCTGTCTACATCTTCCTCTATCTACCAGTTGCCCTGTTTACCATTTTATATATCCTCGAATTTAAATGACCACCACTTTTCCTTTACTTTTATGTTTACTTATCTATGACTTTACCTATATTCCAATTTACTTGAATACCTGTTCATCTCTCTATGTATGTATCGTCAACCCGTTTAACTATTTATCTGTTTACCTGTCTGCTAGTTTACTTGTCTACCAGTCTGCTAGTCTACCAATTACCAATTAATTAAAAAAGATATACATAATTGCTATATTAATTCTTATAAATAGGGGTTTGTGGTAGGAGGTTAAAAATTTAGGATTATGTGTTTTTTCATTAATAAATTTAATGAAAATTTAGGGATAAATGTGTTTTTTATCAAAGCATTATAAAAATAAAAAAAACTAATTGGTATAGGTATTTTGGCTTGAGGCAAGTTACATGAACATCCCGATATGTGTAATTAATTGACTTAATAAATAAAAAATAAATTAATTTATGAGTGATTAAAAACATTCCGAGTGTATTTATTACACATAATTGAAAGCGAACGAACACGTTAACTCTGAGTATTTTCTAAAAGCAAATTTTCAAAGATCAATCATTTTTATAATTGAACCAGTTTCCTTAGGAGTTTAAGGGTTTAGTATGTTCATTAAGACCAAGTACTCTATCGTTATACCAAGTAAATCGTCTAATTTTAATTTTAACAAACGTCAAAAAACTACTCATTTTCTTAAACTATGATGAATTTTTAAAATTAAACTACTTGTAAGTTGTAAGGCCGTAGTATTTCAATAAGTTGTATAAGACCATGATATATATCATCAAAAAAAGTTTCATAAGAATCGACTCATTTTTTTTTCAACAACGAATTACAAGAAAATGGCTCGGTAGATTTTCATCTAAAACCAATCAGTATCATTCCCAACTAATATCTTTCAAACAGTTTTTGAGTTTTTGATTTTTTAATATTGATTCGGTAGTATGAGCTTAAATGTGGACGAAAAGTTCAACACTTTTTACCAAATTTCAAAGGAACGGCTCGGCTGATCGTCTCACAAAACGTCCTCATTGAGACACATCAAATGGTTTTTAAATTTCTGAAATCGGTTCAGGCATTTTTGAGCAAACGTCGACGAAAGGTCTAATTTTGACAAATACTAAAAAAACGATACTAATTTTTGCAAACTTTGACGAATTTTTAAAGCTAAACGAGTTGTCCTAGGGCCGTAATATTTTAGTATGATCTAGAAGACTATCATAAAAAAAATTCATAAAATGCGTCGAAATTTTTTTTTTTAACTTTATTACAAGATCTCTCTACCAAAATCTCATCAGCACGATTTTCCAACCAATATTTTTTGAACGGCTTTTGAATTTTCAAAATCGATTCAGAACTGCGTGCTAAAACGTGGATGAAAAATTTTTCACTTTTCTGCTATTTACAAAAAAACGGCTTGGCTGATAGTCGCGCAAAATTGATAAACGCTAGTCCTCATCGCGATGTATCGAATGGCTTTTAAATTTATGAAATCGGAACAGCCGGTTTTTGAGAAAACGTCGATTTACGGCAAAAAATCTGTTTACATATACACACACACATACCTTTTCCTAATATTGGAGGTCCTAAACAAACCAGAAGGATATTACTATCGTCAGTTATTACTTCGGTGCTGACATATGGTATCTCCATATGGGCTGATGCTCTTAAATCTCAAAAATCGAGGAGAATGGCAGGGCCCTTATATCGTCTCAGTGCTATAAGAATTGCTTGCGCATTTCGCACAATATCGGCGGAAGCAGTGTGCGTCATTTCAGGAACTGTGCCTCTCTTAGTCTTAGCAGAGGAAAGACGGACAATTTACCATAGAAGACATCAACAACTGTGTCCTGAAAAGCTGAGATTAGAAGAACGGCAGAACAGCATTGACCGATGGCAGCAACTGTGGGATGTCGCAGTAAAGGGCAGATGGACGCATCGTCTCATTCCTAACATCAAAGTCTAGCTAAGTCGCAAGCACGGCGAAGTGAACTATTATACTACGCAAATGCTATCGGGGCACGGCTGTTTTCGAGCCTACCTATACCGATTCAAGCACGATAGCTCGCCGGATTGCCCATATTGTTTGGGCGAAATCGAAGATGCTGAGCATGTGTTCTTCGTGTGCTCGCGATTTGGTGCTCTACGGGATGACGTGGAAGAGACATTGTGACGCAGAATTACTCACCTCAACAAATTGATTAACAAATGATGATCATCAGACTATCATAAGGCCATTTATGATTGCGATAGATATCAAGTAATTCAAAGTAAAATATAATATCAAGTAAAATTTGTCTTTCGATTGCAATGCTGCAAAAAGAACAGAAAGTCAAAAAGATTCTAAATAAGCATGTTAAACATTTGAAACTAATTAAGTATAAAAGTCAAACAATGCTAATTAAGTTTGTAATTTGAGAGGACAACATCCGAGTTGCCTTCTATAACCATCTGCTCAAATAACAAAACAATCCCTGACTGATTGTTAGTATATTATTTCATAAATAAATGGAATTTTGTCCTCATAATTTAGCCTGAAAGTTTTAATTGGTTCCACTCAATTTGAAAATTATGATATTTCATAGTATGTTGAAAAAACTGTACCAAACTTTAACCTTTCCTATTAAAACTGTTCTTTGGCGTTTCGCTTTGTGTAAAACTATGATGTGCAAATTCAGTCGAACTTCCAGCTTCGTATTGTTATCCCACACATTCTCAATCGTTTCTCCTACAGAAACAATAAATTTAATTTTAATGTGTTCATATGTATAATCTATGTGTTGATTCAGTGGTTAATACCATCTACTTAAACAATTAAAAATTATCTTTTTATAAAACAGATATGTAATATCACATATACTCAAGTAACACAGAAAATTAAACATTAAAATCCAACATGGTTTACTTCTCGGTTCCTTTATTTTTTTATGGATGACATTTGTATAACCAACATAGTCGTATCTCATAATAAAATCTTGCTAATATTCAACATCAAATTCTTTTTCCAGGTGCTTCATTTGATACAAATAATCAAATTATAATTCTTAAAAGAACCAGTCAAGTAACGAAGGTTCTTTTCTTAATTTACATTCAACAAACAATTCTATATGGCAGACTATACATATATAAACTTCAATATTATTAGAATGAACATAAGCAACTTGTTCATTGCAGATAATTTTGTTGAAAAAAATAATGCACTTTGAATACTATAAATAGTCTTATTTACAGCTTATTGTTCACTTAATTATTATATTGTAATATAAATCTAAATTCTGTACTTGTTCATAGAGACCATGACCCTAGTGTTATGTTAATTATTGATGTTAAATTTTTTAATCCAGTATTTTTTTGAATTGGTAAACTGAGTAGTTCAGGATGTATAATTTTTGTATATTATTATGATATGAACTTCATCATATAGATCTAGCATTCATTAATCATATCTATCTCAGAATAACTATATAGAAAGCCATTCATGTTAAGTGAACTGAGACAAACAGCCCTGAGATGATGGTGCACGAGGTACATAAGCCTGTAATATAATAATAATATATAATAATATAATACATAATTTTGCAAAATTAAAATTGCGAAATACAGATTTTATTATAGATTAGTTTTAAATTTGTTCATCTTCAGAGCACTTTACAGATCATATGATTATAAAAACCCTTAAATGAATGCTAAGTAAATACAAAAATCCATCCACTTCTCATCATCATTTAAGTAAGTCCCAAAATTCGTTAATAATGTTATAGAAATTATTTTCCATTATATTAATGAACTGAACATTTTTTATCAAACGTTCAAATGCTTTTATTAAATGTTCAAACGCATGCCTTTGAAGAATTCTTTTTAATATATTACTTTAATGTCACTAAATGAACCTTTTTTCTATAAGCACAAAAGAGCAAATAAAGCATTAATAAAATGAATTTAATTTGTGCATCGTGCCCAAGCCCATAGATAAATAAATATAAATAGATCGCTATCTCAGGCCATTTGACGCTACCTTTATTTTAATTTTCAATTTGACGAAGGCAGCGCTTGTACAGTATAATCATAGATAAAAGAAGAGCATAATTCATAGATAAAAGAAGAGTATAAATTAACCGCAGGTATTATTCCTAGATATGGTTCTTATACGTAATTCAAAATAAGAAAACCTAAATAATTTCTTGAACATAAATGAGAACAAAACATACGAAGCACAAAATATATTTTCAAATATATTCATTCCTTCATTTCATTTTCATTTATCTACGATGTGTCCATACTCTTCTTTTATCTATGGTGAGTCTAAAGAAAGCTTGGTCCATAGATAAATAAGCATTGGCTTGGTCGGATATTTATTCTAAGGTGGCAATTTTCTACTACACTTACATGTTTACTTATCTATGTTCTACTACTTTCCAATACTCACTCAACTCTCGATTGTTTTCTAGTTAAATCGAGTATACTAATGTAATGACTGAATCACTCCGTTACCAAGAATCAAAAACTGGGTTGTCAAAATAGAATTAAACTAAAATAATTGCAAATCATTATAAATTTCGTTAGTTTTGATTGAAAGTGATATTTTTTTCGGGTTGCGTCTCATTTATATAGCAAAGTGTATCACTATTTTTTTTGGAAAATTTTATTCTGACAGCAAGTTATGTAGGCATGAGTATGTGACAAGGGTGGCACAGATTGTTGGTTGTGGGAATCTATTATAATTCACTAAACAAATCAGTATTTTGTCAATTATGTCCAGAGTACCTAATCACGGAACAATTTAGAACTTTCTATAATCAGCTAATAGAAATTTTGCAGTGGGATAATTGTTGTTTTGTGACGAAATTCAAATAATTTGTTAAAATGTCAACTCCAGCAAGACGACGGCTCATGAGAGATTTTAAAAGATTGCAGGAAGATCCTCCAACTGGAGTGTCGGGAGCACCAACAGATAATAATATAATGATATGGAATGCTGTAATTTTTGGACCTCATGACACACCTTTCGAGGATGGTACATTTAAATTGACTGTAGAATTCACAGAGGAATACCCAAATAAACCACCAATAGTTCGATTTGTATCAAAAATGTTCCACCCTAATGTCTATGCAGATGGTGGTATATGTTTAGATATCTTGCAAAATAGGTGGAGTCCAACATATGATGTATCTGCGATCTTAACATCCATACAATCGTTACTCAGTGATCCTAATCCTAATTCGCCTGCCAACTCCATGGCAGCACAACTTTACAAAGAAAATCGAAGGGAGTATGAAAAACGGGTCAAGACGTGCGTGGAACAAAGTTTTATTGATTAACATTATGTGCACTGTAATATGATGTTATGGTTAAGTTTATTTAAGAAGCATTATGTGTATAATAAAGAACAAGCAAAATATATATGTGTACCAGTTAGAAACATTGTACTTTAAATCATTTATATTTATATATTAGTATATTATATTTATTTGACCCTATGCAAAAAACTTTTAGTTAAGTTTTTTTTTACAATTATAAAATTCAATGTATTTTAGTATTATAGAATATAATTTTTAATAATTATATAATAAATATCAACAACAAGAATTCATTTGCTTACTTAGCATCAGAGTTATTATTGTTTTTTGACATTTACTGCAATAGTTTTCTTTATATGATTCATCAAATAACATTAATTTTAATTTAAAAGTTTAGTTTTTTTGATACACAGTTTTATTTTATAAGTTTTTGATTTGTTTAATGTATATATATATATATATATATATATATATATATATATATATATATATAAACAGATTAAAAATTAATTAATGTTACTGCTAATTAATTTTCAGTGGATCAATTCAAACTGATTGAGGTTACCACTCAATCTTTTTCTTAAGTCTGCAATTGTTTCTAATCATTTTGTGGTGGTTGTTTTTCTACCTTGCCCAATTATAAAGTTATATCTTATATGGAGTTGAACAAATATATTTATACAAATATTAAGATAATAAAACTAATAATTTTATAATAATATAAAATAAAGATTTGTTTTGAATTTACAGATCTATTATTTTTCATATCACAAAATCTACAAATATAAATCATGTAAAATGTGATAAAAAATTTAATATAAATTTAAAAAAAATATAATATAAATGCCAATGGAAAATACGCATACATTATTTGAAATATTTCGTTTAAAACGCACAAAACTTCATATCATAAATTTTGCACTAGACAATGGAATACTCTACAATTTTGACATTTGATGACATCATTGACAATCTATGTTCTGTCTAATCTCCATATAATTTTTTGTTCGAGTATAACTAAGATTACTATACGTTTGGAATCTAAGATTTTTTAGTAATTACGTATTTTACGAATTGCTGAAATGATAAAATATAATACATATTGTTTACCCATTAAAAAGTTGTTTATTAATTTACATTTATGATTTGTCAAAGACATCATTCTCCTATGGTAAATCAACATGAATATGTAAGTTGACGTTAGTTTCTGATTATTGCGGGAACTATTTTTTATTTGCATTATATCTCTTGAGACAATGTTTAATATTAAATTTCTTTTAGAGTAATGAACGTTTCATGCAATTGAGAATTCGTGTAATCGCTGGCAAATCGTTGGCGAAGAAAGATATCTTTGGCGCAAGGTTAGCAGCTTTGTAAATATATCATAATAAGAAAAAGTTTTAAAAATAGTGCATTTAATATATTCTTAATTTAATATTAACAACATGCATATAGTTTTAGTGACCCATATGTTCGTATTGATGTAAAAAAAATTGTTGGGAATATAACAGTAGATTCTGCGACAACAAAGACGAAGAAAAAGGTAATACAAATTAAAACAAATTATCTCTTGCACAATTATTTTCTATCTTAATCTTACCAACTTAATTTTTCAGACATTGAATCCAGAGTGGAACGAAGAGTTTAAATTTCTGGTTAGTTCAATATTTTTTATTTGTTCTGTAATATGTTTCTCTTCATGTTAACCATTCATTTATATATATATATATACATATATATATAAAATAACTAAAGTGTATTGTAATATTGAATGATTTTTATATTATTAACATAAACTGAGAATAATTGATAATTTTTCCACCTTACAAAAAAAATATAATTGTCATACAAAACAGCATTTTTTTACGAATGTGATATGAAGAGGATAAGTGTTTAGCAAGTGAGATTATTATTATTAAATAGTTTTAATTAATAAGTGGTCTATTATAGATTATTATAATAATTAATGGTTTTAATAAGTGCATTATTCTTTAAGGTTAATCCTGACCATCATAAACTTGTATTTCAAGTTTTTGATGAACGACGTTTGACTCGCGATGATTTTCTTGGAATGATAGAATTAAACTTGAACAATTTGCCTCGGGAGCATCCAGATAGAAATATTCAAAGCAAAATATACAGTTTAGTCTCGAGAAGGTCAGTCGGGTAGGTCAAATATGCACAAAGTTTTTGCGTGTAAATTACAGTGAAAACATATATATATATATATATATATATATATATATATATATGTTTGACATTAAAATATATGGATTATTTAACAGCCATTGCCTCAAAATAAAATGCAAATGATATTTGTAAAAATCTTTCCATAAATTTCGAGGACATCATGTGTCTGAGCTAAAAAGTATGTACCATAATATATCAACATTAATTAATACAATTCTGTCAATTCAATCACAAGCAATAAAAAACACTAAACAATTAAACTAAATATTTTTGATTTTACTTTTGTTTACTTTTCAACTGAATGAAGTGACACATTTTGTTCTCAAATATTCTCTTCTATTTCTACAGATTTGCCTTTATTTAATCAAATATATAAATATACATATATATATATATATATATATATATATATATATATATATATATATATATATAGGCAAAATCTTCAGAGCAATGTATTTCAGTTTGTTTTGCGATTTATTTGACAAAAGTTAGGTTTATTAGACAAATGCAGTTTTTTTGTCATTATTCTTGGCTTTATGACAATTTTTTATTGCCTGAAGCTTCTACATTCCTTGAAGCTTCTACATGCTTGAGAAGTCAAGAAATTTTCAAAAAAGACGAACCGAAATCTTTAATAAACTGCCATACAGTTTGAAATATTATTATATATCATTCTTGACGTATTGCCTGAAGATTTTTTTGCTTATTATATCTCAATATCAAAAACAAACGAATGAAAAACATATATATGTATATATGTTCAAATTGGGCTTATCATATCCAAAGCCGGATTGGTTAGAATATGACTCTGCTTCAGAGAGGAGTTAACTTATTGAAATATGAGGGTAATTCTTTTGCTATAAAGGGTCCACAAGGCAATTAGGCAACCAAACAATTTATTAATTAAATGTCAATAAAATAACATGTAGTATAAAATATTTTACCAATAAATGTTGGGTCCTAAAATTTTTTGGTGGACCAAGTCATCGATCCTGTGACTCATTTTTTGCAGTATTAAGCAAAGTGTAAACAAAAAAGTTGAGAATCAAATTTAATTTTATAACTATTTTTGAATAGGAGAATTCGAATTTTTTAATTAATTTATTGTTAATATTTTTTTGCTGTTTGTATACCATTAAAATCACTGATAAATTTTGCAAAGTAAGATATGTTTATTGAATTTTGGGCTATGAAAATACCAGATTATATGCATCTATGTAGTTTTTGGTATGCACATCCCTGATAGTGGTAATTCATGGACAAGGATCATACCAGTTATCACCCATTACTATTGAATAAATTATGCATTTGAGCTGTTTACACTTCAACACTGTATTTTTGCAGTGAAATTTTTTTGTCACCTGGTCTGAATCAATATGGCCCGCAATAGCATTGTATCACAGAAAAAAATCATGTTCTTCAAAGTTTTTAAACTTATTTTAAATATTTGTTCTTTTAACTATATTCTTACAAAACATATTTATGTATAGAAATATATTCATATTTACATAAAATATACGAATTTCGTTATTTAAGGGAATATTTTAGTATAGAGACATGATTTTCATGTGATTTTTGAAAGGAGATAAAAAAGGCAAACAAAATCAAAATTGTTCATTCACGTTTTTGCAAAAAATCCTGAACCGATTTTAAAAATTGCAAAGTTGTTCAAAACATTTCTTTTCGGGATTTAGTTACTTAGTTTTAGTTATTTAGGCTTAGTTTAGATACATGGGTTTCATGTGATTTTTGAAAAGCTGTGAAAAAGGCAAATGATATTTTTACTAAAGATATCAATTAAAAATCACATTTTAGTGAGAGGGAAAGTTATATATTGGAAATAAAAAATAGTTGAAAATTTTATCGAAAAAGCTAAATCTCAATTATTATTGAATAAGTTCATTATTACTTGCACCGAAAAGTTTATGCAAATTTTATTAAGGCAAAATTACGGCATTTTATTTTCAATCCATTAATCAATTTTAATAAATGGCATGCTGCAAAATTGAGTTTGATACCCTTGATATATGCATATATACAGTGGCGTCGGAACGAAACAAGCCCACCCATCAAAAATTTGCTTCCGACGCCTATATATATACATATATATTTATATATATATACGAGGTGTGTTCAAAAAGTACCCGGAATTACTAATAATTAAATTTCGCGGGTCTGGAGTGTCTGATTGTCAAAAATTTTTTTTTATTGTGTTGGTATACATGCCCCTAAAGTATGATGAAATTTTCAGCTATATTCACTGTTTACTTTGTCTGTGGTAGTCGCTAAGGTTCGACGTGTTTTTCTGAGCTCGGCGATTTTTACAATGGAAGAATTGAAAAGTCAAAGAATTTGTATTAAATTTTGCGTAAAAAATGAAATAAAGTGTTGCAAAGTGCAAAAATTCACCAGATATGGCTCCGTGTGACTTTTTCCTATTCCCAAAGTTGAAGAGACCCATGAAAGGACGGCGGTTTTCCTTGATTGAAGAAAATCGCTGAGAGTGCTCAAGGACATATCAAAAAGTGAATATCAAGGGTGCTTCGAAAATTGGAAAAAACGCTGGCATAAGTGTATTATATCTGGGGGGGACTACTTTGAAGGGGACCACATTAATGTAGACGAATAAATAAATATTTTTTTGAAAAAACGAAAATTCCGGGTACTTTTTGAACAGACCTCGTATATATATATATATATATATATATATATATATATATATATATATATACTAGATATGTATAATAATATTTAAATATAGTTAAAATAAATGAAATGATCTGGGGGCATTAGCTATATTCAATTGGTCTTGCCCTTGTATTTGGGTGATATGTCAATTTAAATATTTGAAAATACTCTACTTTTTTCTTACTCATGAATTATATTGAAATAATATTCATGCAGTTGTATTTATATTACTTTATTATTATGTACATCAATTTATGTTGAGTATTTACATTATACAGTTCTTTTAGATATACTCATTTCGGCGTTTTAAGTATACTTAAAAAGTTATGATTTAACTTTGATATATATATATATATATATATATATATATATATATATATTTATTTATTTCATGTATATTCAGTGTTCGATCCAAAGTTAGAGGTACACTGGAATTATATCACGCATTTATCGCTGAAGCAGAAAGTAATGAGATACCTCAAATGTCAGGGGAAGTTCATAATACTGATTCTGACTGGGAACTTATTGATGGAACTGAAACTAACACAGATCAATCTACGGTATGAAATTATTTATTAACTTCCCGTAGGGTAAGTTATTGTAATGGGCCAAAAATCGGAATTGAAAATTTTTTACATTTCTCGACGTTTTGAAGGTTTCTGAACGTTTTGGCATACCTCAGAAAAAATGGATGTGTGTGTGTGTGTGTGTGTGTGTGTGTGTGTATGTATGTATGTATGTATGGATACAAATTTTCGCCCACGTTTTCGGGCGTACGGATCAACCGATTTGAATGGTTCAAAAAACATTTGATTCCTATTGATAGGGAAAAGAGCTGATTAGTTTTTGGCAAAGGCAGGTCCAGCCGTTTCGGAGATACGGAGCAAAGAGTGTAGAAAATAAAAATCGAATTTTTGAGAGAACGGAGTATCCGATTTGAATGATCTAAAAAACATTCAATTAGTAATGATTGGGAGAAGTGTTTATTAGTTCTTGGCAAAGGCAGGCCCAACCATTTTGAAGATACAAAGCTAAATATGTAAAAATTGGCAATTTTTGAGAGAACTAAGCGTCCGATTTAAATGATTCAAAGAACTTTCTGCTTGTCTTAACAAAATAATTGATTTTGGAAAAAAAATGTGTTTCATTTTTTTTTTTTTTTTTTAAGTTTTTTGTATATCGAAAATATTTCAGATTTTATTTTTAATTCTGACTATAGTTCTAATATAATTTACAAATAATTTCAATTCTGCAATTCAGTTTATATAATTCTTATAAATATTAGACAATGTTACAATATTAATAATAATCTATTTGAAAACATTCAGTATTCCACGAACATTTTGTTACGGTACGGGAAGTTCCAGCAATTTGCCTTAAGGCACGATGCCATAATTGCTTCAACACAGAATTCCACTTACAGCTAGTTTCAAAATTTATATTAAAAAACGAATGCATATTTATATATATATATATATATATATATATATATATATATATAGCGAGTATTTTACAGCCCATATATATAAATGTTAAATATGAACAACATAACACTCAGATTTTTACACACACTTTATTTTCACGTTTCGACCATGGTATGCCTCATCTTTAGTGTAATTTGAAAACAGTAAAAATTATATACTAATACATTATTTAATATTTTATTTAAATTATATTTGCTTATATTTGCTTACAATGCTTGACACACTATTATACATGTGAATATGTACAAAAATATTTGGGAACAAATCTTAAGTCTCGAAGATGAAGGGACAAGGATGGATATTATTATAATATAAACAAAAGGAGTGCAAGATCGCAATACTAAAATCAACAAGTGTGAAAACAGATTAATTTATGGAATAGAATTAGATAAATGAATGAAAATAGTAAACAAAAAAAAATTATAAATCATTAATGATGTTGGGTTGTGTAAAATATTTGTGTCGGTTCTCAGATTTACATTCTGCCATGCTCTGTTTAAATAAGTCTTTTTTATGGAATAAAATTTGGGGATTATCAAAATCAAACTTATGGTTGTTGATATTAAATTGTAAATATTAAATGTATTAGTATATAATTTTTTCTGTTTTGAAATTATACTGAAACGTCTGTGATTATTAAATAAAGTGTGTTGATCTGCGTGTTGTATTGTTCATATTTAACATTTAATATTTGTTCCACTCATATCACAAAATTCTATATTATGTATGTATTATATGTATATATATATATATATATATATATATATATATATATATACATATACACACTTTATTTAATATTTACAATTGGTCTCGAAACATCTGTAATTATTAAATAAAGTATGTGTTAAAAATCTGAGTGTTGTATTTTTCATATTTAACATTTGACATATATATATATATATATATATATATATATATATGTGTGTGTGTGTGTGGAGAGTTTATGTTTCTCTTTAAGCAAAAATTACCTATTTTCAGAACATTGTAACCATGGATTCTACCGGACCTTTACCACCAGGCTGGGAAGAAAGACAAGATGCAAATGGCAGGACGTATTATGTAAATCATTTAGCTCGCTCTACACAATGGGAAAGACCAATATTAAGGTTGCTTACATAAATCTATTATAAATGTATACGATTTTTAATTTTTTTTTTTTAATTTTTAGTGAGGTGGATGATATTAACTCAGGACAAAGAAGTTTAGATGATGCTGAGGCCGCATTAGAGATTTTTCAACGTCGATTTCATATTAGTGCAGACCATGACAGAAATGATGCTACTAGTCAAGTGAGTGTAGCATTTTTCAGGTTTCCAAAGGCATTTATATTATATATATATATATATATATATATATATATATATATATATTAGATATGAGTAAGTTCTTCAAGGGCATACATCAAATAAAAGGCAAAGATTTAGAAGTTAATCTTTAATTTTTCCTTTAATTGGAATGCCCTTGAAGAACTTACTCATATTTCTCAACATCAAAACTAACTTCTTTAACATATATATATATATATATATATATATATATATATATATATATTTATTATATATATGCTATTTTCATACGAAGTTTGATTGAATTGCGCTCTATCTAAAAGTTAATATTAAGAGCTAAAACTTTCAGAGAATTGTATTTTATCAATTTGGAACCATTTGAGCCCTTGGGAGCAAGGAAATTTGAAAATGTCCATATTAAGGATCACCCTAATATATATGTAATATATATTCTATGGCTTTTAACATCAATTTTAACATCAAATTATTATTATTATTGCATATTCATTAAAGACATCAACAAATATTTAAATAAATTTGATTGTTTATTAAATGATGTCTTCAATATATTTGTTTTTGTAAAGATTTGAGATAACATTCTAAATAAGTCTTATTTTTTTGAGAATAATAACTTTGTGCAATTTAAAATAAAAATAATACTAACATCATTTTGTATATTTATACAAAATATTAGAATGAGGATGCAGTTGATACCGTTCATCGTAGAAGTGTAAGCAGTTTGCAGTCCAGCCCATCACATCACACAAATATAGGAGATAATTCTGATAGTGAGAATGATCAGACCTCAGCAGATTCCAATCAAACAGTTCCAAGTCAAATGGAAGGTCTACCCCCAGGCTGGACAATGCAGCTTGCTCCTAATGGTAGAACATTTTTCATTGATCACAATACAAAGAACACGACATGGGTGGATCCAAGAACAGGTTAGTTTTTTTTTATAGTTTTACATTGTATTCAAAAAATGGTTTTACATTGTATTATAAATACTATAATTTATAATTTTTTATCGATTTATCTTTTTAACAAAGTTCATAACTGTTAATATGAATATTCAAGTTTAAAGATAGAAACAATTTCTGCACTTAACTAACTTAGTAAAATTTTTTCAGAAATATTATCTGATTTATTCATTACATTTTTTTAGCAACAACATTATCTATAAATTGTAAAAATCTAAGTATTTTGAACTTATTAACGTAAGTGAAAAAAATATTCTTGCAGAAAAAAAAGTGTTTATAATAAGTCAATATCAAATATCATTGACTTTAGTTTTAGAAATGCTTTCAATTTTTGATAATAAAAATCTATTTTGATGATAATTTAGGAAGAGCAAGCACAATGCCCAATCAGTTGTCATCTACAATTACTAATGAAAAACCAGAAGATGAACTAGGACCACTTCCTGAAGGTTGGGAAGAGAGATTGCATTCAGATGGAAGAATATTTTTTATTGACCATAGTGAGTTATATCATGTCACATTAATTATTATAGTAATATCAATAAAACGTTTTTTTGAAATTAGATGAAGATTTACTGCCACCTGTGAAATGAATAATCAAATTTTCATATGCACAATTAAAACTTATTATTGTTCTTGAGGTTGTATATACCAATTTAGAAATAAATGTCTCATGTAGGAGTTTATGATTTGTCCAATATGTCCAAGAGTTTGTAAGAAAATTTTGAAAAAAGTGTTTTTAGGCAATTTGTGTACATTTTTCAGTATCTGGATGAAATTGAGTTAATCAACAAGAAAAATTGCAAAAATAATTATTTTTAATACTTGGTTACAAAGAATTTTGTAATCAAGTATTTTTTGAATTTTTGGAATAGATGATATAGTACAGTATTGCAAACAAAAAGTCAAAATTTCAAAGGTATTTGCACAAAATTTTGTTTGCAAAACATCGGTTTACAATTTTCTCAGAAAGTTGAAATTTTCAATTAATATTTGTGATAAACAGCTTGGCTAGTCTTCAAAAACAAATTTAAAAATTTTGAACTTTGTTTAGAAAATGAATAATTAAATATTTAACAGATAACTGCAAAGAAATGACTTGGCTACTAATTACATAAAACTAGTTTCTAAACCAATAACTTTTAAAAGGTTTTTTTGAAAATCAAACCTTATTTTGAGTAGTTTGGTAAACAGTTTGATATAAAGTTTATCTTTAACCATTTCAATAGAAAAAATACTTTCACTCAACTTTTAAGATCCATTGAGAAGATAGAAGAAATCATAGCGAAGAAAGAATTTTATTGTCTTGCAATATATAGCTGAAATGTATATGCATAAAAATTCTATTATTTTAAAAATGTGTTGTCATAATTGTGTCACTGAGTATGTTATTATAAGTTTTTTTTTTTCACTTTTGGTATGACATTGACACTTATATGGTAATATATTGAATCTAATTTCAAATGTTTTATTAAAACCTGTAGATACACACACCACTCAATGGGAGGATCCTAGGATGTCTAATCCTCAGATAGCCGGACCAGCTGTGCCTTACTCAAGGGACTATAAACGAAAATATGAATATTTAAAATTACAATTAAGAAAACCTGTAAGAAATTTCATTTTTAATGAATTAATTGAATTTTTCTTAAAACATTTTGTTTTTGTAGAATAATGTACCTAACAAATTTGAGATCAAGGTTCGACGCTCTAGTATTTTGGAAGATTCATATCGCATAATAAATTCTATATCCAGAATAGATTTACTTAAAACTAAGCTTTGGATTGATTTTGAGTCAGAAATTGGTTTAGGTATGATATTAATTACTTTTTATATATTTTAAATATTAAGACAATAGTAATATTATTTAATAACCTCATGTGGAAATGCAGAGCTATTAAAGGCACATTAAAGATTAATTTGATAGATGTAATATAATCTCAAGTGATTATTTGTCTTGTGATATATGCTAATATAAATTAAGTAAATGAGCATTTGTTATTTGCAAATGTGAAATAACTAGAGTATAAAGGTTTACATTAATAGAATTTACATAATACAAATAACTTAAATTTTATTCTGAAGTGGAGTATAATATGGTAATAATGAAGATTGTGAATAATTTTTGCAATATTTAACTTTTGTTTACAATTAAGGGGGTTTGTTTCTAGGAATCCAATTTCATTAATGAGCTGAATAAAATTCATTTTAGTAGGTACTGAAACAATTTTGATATTACTTTAAAACAAAATAGTTCATTACTCAATATTTATGTATTTGTTAATATTTTGTATTTACTTTTACATTTAAATCAGGTTTATTTATTATTTTTGCACAATTATTTAATTGTATCTTAGTGCAAATACGTGAATTTTAATAGTTTACTGAATATAATAATCAAAATATTTTATGGGGGAATATATATATTATTGAATTTATATTTGGCTCATGACGAAATTACTAATTTACAAAAGACATTCATTTTTTAAATGAAGATTTGCCATACTAAAGTGAATTACATAGTCACTCTAGAGTTTGATTATATCTCTATGTAAGATAGTAGCTTCAGTTTATTCAAGTAATGGTTCCAAATCTTTAACCTTGTTATACATCAATCTGATGTATAGATACACTTTAGCGCAATTTGGTTCAAAACTGGTTCTCCTTATTTAACTTGTTTTGAAGTGTATTTTTTTTATAATTAATAAGTGTTTTTAGATTCATTTTAAATATTACAAAATGCAGTATGACCAGAGCTTCTTCAGTACCTATCCATTTATTATTGAGAATAAATTACATACGTTTTAGATTATGGTGGTTTGGCTCGAGAGTGGTTTTTCTTATTGTCGAAAGAAATGTTCAATCCATATTATGGCTTGTTTGAATATTCGGCAATGGATAATTATACATTACAAATAAATCCATTTAGTGGAATATGTAATGAAGAACATTTAAACTATTTTAAATTCATTGGACGAATTGCTGGAATGGCTGTTTATCACGGAAAATTATTAGATGGTAAGTAGTAGGTAGGGCACATATGCATAATGGGAATAATGGATTCATACAATTTTTATTTTAGCTTTTTTCATTCGACCATTCTATAAAATGATGCTTGGTAAGCCAATCGATTTGAAGGATATGGAATCTGTAGATTCTCAATATTATAGTTCATTGTTGTGGATAAAAGAAAATGATCCATCAGAATTAGAATTAACATTTTGCGTGGATGAGGAAACATTTGGCAAAACAACACAGCGTGAACTTAAACCAAATGGTGCAAATATTGCTTTAAATAATGAAAATAAAGATGAATATATCAGGTCAGTCATTAATACTACATTTATATAAATGTGATAGAGTAGCATTTAATTTTATTTTATTTGAAATGTAATATATATATATATATATATATATATATATATATATATATATATATATCAATTTTATTTTAAATGAATCAATTTTGTTTAAGCAGAATTAATTGGTGCAAAACATATATTTTTCTGAACTGTGGGTTTCTCTAGTAAATTTTTTAAATTTTCAACCATCATATAATTTACTTTATAATTAATTTTAAGTCTAAGTATTCAGATATGCATAATTTTTTTGGTTCATAATTTTGAAAAATTATTGTGTCAAAAAAAAAAATTTCCACGACCTGAATCCTGGGCAATTATTGAGATTGCCATACATCTCATATATTTCTAGAAGCACTATTTGTCCCAAATTCAGTTTTTTTTGTTTCTATATTGTCCCATATTTTCATAAAGTTTTTTGTTTTTAATATATTTTATCTGAAATTATTTTTATGAAATTTGAACTGAAAAAATGAAATAGACACACTGAATGCAATATAATTTATTAATGTTAATTGTGATACAAATTGTACATAATTTTATACGAAGAAAATCTATAATTCAGAAAAAGGAAAAACTGATTTACTAAAAAGTAAAACTGATTTATTATATTATTAAATGGTATTAATGTATAATTTGTATAAAAAAAACTTTAAAAATCATACATGTCATTTAAAATAAGCCCCTGTTGAAACTTTCCTTTCAAGATTTGAAATAAATAATATTTCAATGGTAATAATATCATTTGCATATTATTATATGCTTATATTTATTTTATGAATAAGAGTAATTTTTTGTCTAAATCAGATTAATATATATATATATATATATATATATATATATATATATATATATATATATATATATATATATGTATATAATGAAATTATAGATTAGTAATTCAATGGAGATTTGTATCGCGAGTTCAGGATCAAATGAATGCTTTTCTAGAAGGCTTCAATGCTTTAGTGCCTTTAACACTTGTGAAAATTTTTGATGAACATGAACTAGAACTATTGATGTGTGGAATTCAGCATATCGATGTTAAAGATTGGAAAAATAATACCCACTACAAAGGCGAATATCATGCAAATCATATGGTGGTTCAATGGTTTTGGAGGGTATGTACATTGATATGTTTTAATATAATTTGTGTATGTAGAAAATATTAGTTTGTAACAGTTTTTTTTTAATAGTGCTTCTTTGTAATTTTATAGGTTATTTATGAGCATGTAATTTAAATCTTAGTGCTTATAAAATTAACATAAGTAATATGTGATGCAACTAATAGAATTTCCATTTTGGTTTATGAAGATAATTATTGTAATATGTAAAATGTATGGAATATTGGGAAAATTTTCCAATACATCAAGAAAATTATCAACATGTTTATAACATGAAGCATCCAAACCAATTCAAAACTATGTTCTTAGAACATATGATAAATTTTAATCCCACCTTTAGAAAAAAATAAGCTTTTTGTGACAATTTTCAATGTCCTTTTATATTTCCCTAAATTTTTTATGCATTAACAAACATAATTCTTCAACGACTATCATAATATTAAACCCTTAATCTACAATTTGAATATGTTGGGTCGAAATTGTACAAGCTAGTACAGCGTTCATGGTCATTTTTCCAGGCGCATTGATCCAACATACAAGTTTATTACAAAAAATATTTTGTATCTACCACAGAGATCTACCACAGAGATCTACCACAATTATTGCATTAGTAGTCTGTAAATGTTTATCAAATATTTCTCTCAAAATTTACATTTGGCTCAATCACCATACTGGGCTATGCCTGTAAAATTTGCATTTGGCCTAGCCATCGCACGTGGACTATACTCGTATTTGTAGGTTAAGGGGTTAACATAATTAAAAGTTACTCTATCATCCCTTCCACATGTTTGGTGCATTGCCTTTGGACTGGACATTGATTTGATTTAGTTCATATTGTGAAATAATGGATTAAGCATTTTTAGATGTTAAATTCATAAACATTTTAGGTTGTGCTTTCTTTTTCTAATGAGATGCGATCTAGGCTGCTGCAATTTGTAACAGGAACATCAAGAGTACCTATGAATGGTTTTCGGGAATTATATGGTTCAAATGGACCTCAAGTTTTTACAATTGAAATGTGGGGTACTCCTGACAACTATCCCAGAGCTCACACTTGGTCAGTTATTGTACTAATTAATTATAGTTTTGCAATTTTAAAAACATCGTAATAATTATATTTTAATTAACAGTTTTAATAGGATTGATTTGCCACCATATGAAAGTTATCAGGCTTTAAGAGATAAACTCATCAAAGCTATTGAGGGATCGCAAGGATTTGCCGGAGTAGATTAAAACAATGGATTTACTATAAAATACTACGGCTGTCAACAAATTCTTCGTGTATTTTATTTGTGCACTAATGCAATTTATTGTGATTTTTTTAAGTTCCTTATCAATGTTTGTGCTTTCAATTGTTCAAGCATGTAAAGTTTCTTAGGGTCAATTTTATATATCAATATAATAATTCGCCAATTTTTTTTTTTATTGAATTCATGAAAAATATTTGATTGTATTTTTTCATGTATCAACTATATAACTTCCAAATTAATTATATATTATTATAAATAAATTTAAAGATATATATATATATATATATATATATATATATATATCAGATTAAATTAAAAAAAATCTTAGACTACATCCATCCATATAATATCCTTATTTCAAGTTGTATATTATTGTTATTAGCTAGATTAATTAATTATTTTGATCTTTGTGAATGTAAATAATTTATATTAAAACACAATTTGAAAGGTAGGTTCTAAGTGGTTTATGTTTGTTTTCTTTTATAATGTAAATATTTTATTATCAAATAATGTTACTGCTAAATCTTGTATTCCATGCTAAGGTATAAAAGTGCAAAGTGTAATTCTACATTATGGTATTGCTAAAACTACAAATATAAAAATATGTGATTTACAAATAATTGAACTTGTAACTTGCTTATAAAATGCCTTATATATGTTAACTGCAGATGTAAATTTTTAAACTTTCTCATACTGTAAATAAATAATTAAAAACATGAATTTCTTAGTTACATTTTGCATGCTGTGTCTAATAAATTTAAACAATCTTCAATTGAATATTGCTATATCTATAGAATGTACTATACTACATATAAATATGCATCAAAATAAATTCTATATAAAATATAGATAATAGAGCAATAAATATAGAGCATATAAAATCTGATCAGATTATAAAGCATTTGCTTAGTTTTATTTAGAGAATTGTATCAGAGATAATGAATACATATCCTGAAATAACAATATACTTCTATAGCAATAATTACTCTGTATCCATTTTTGTCTTTATATTATCGAACGTAATCGAAAGTAAGAAAATCTTGAAGAAAATAGTATTTTAGGATTCAGTAAAAAATTGTTATTTTATTAACTGCAAAATTCACTGGTTTTTAAAAAAGGATCTGACTATTTTCTATAAAAAAGTGCCATCAAATTACAATGATATACTTTTGCTATAAGAACATTAAATTTTTGACTATCATAAAACTTTTAAAATGTGCTTTTAAAATCTTTATATATTGCTGAGATTTTTCAAATTTCCATTTGTATCAGTTTTTTTAAAGTTATTATTCAAACTGTTATAACTTATTTTGGCATAACAAAACACTAAAAATTTTTATTCAAAGTTATCTAAAAATTTTAAAATTAATTTCAATGCAATAAAAATTTAAGAAAATCTTTTATCACCCTTGTTTTTAACATTCCTTTACGTTGTTTGAGGTGTTTCTTCAAGTTGGTTTCAAAATTAAATATTGAATAAGATATAATCGCTTATTGTATATATTGTTACATTTTTAAACTTGATTATTGACAAACATGTAAAGCTTAAACTGGTATACGACATTGTTTTCCTCGGCCGGCAGTAAATCAGCAATTTTTTGTTGCTAATGAGTAACAATAATTTTTAATATGTATATAGATATTAGATATTGTAACTTAGCCTCGATATAGCTAACATGACATAACTCAAAGGCAGTGATATAAAACACCTTTACCTTGTTTAAAAATTTATTAATGAAATAATAATTGATATATAGCGTTCAACAATAAAATAATAATTCCGAAATCGACATTAAATTCCAACACCGCGTGAAAAAACATTATAAAATAAAATTCTAGATACAAATCTGTATGATGTCTGTATGGTTGTCTACATAGGTCATAAGCCCTAGACAATATTAGAATCATTCTTCTATTGTCATTATCATTATTATATTGTCTAGGATATTAAAATATGATTGGATATACTAATCAGCTGTATAAATTGTTTACACTACCGCCACCGCCAATGCCCCTACACAATATAATAATCATTGTTGTTAAAATAATTAATTCCTATATTATCCTGGATTAATGGCCAATATCCATTATTATATTGTCTTATCGTTAGGGTAAATGATAACCCTAGACAATATAATATAATAATAATGATGATAACTGTCAATCCGTCAAATTCACACGAGAACAGACAAGAAGTTTCACCGAAATGCCGACAATATTAGAATCATTCTTCTATTGTCATTATCATTATTATATTGTCTAGGATATTAAAATATGATTGGATATACTAATCAGCTGTATAAATTGTTTACACTACCGCCACCGCCAATGCCCCTACACAATATAATAATCATTGTTGTTAAAATAATTAATTCCTATATTATCCTGGATTAATGGCCAATATCCATTATTATATTGTCTTATCGTTAGGGTAAATGATAACCCTAGACAATATAATATAATAATAATGATGATAACTGTCAATCCGTCAAATTCACACGAGAACAGACAAGAAGTTTCACCGAAATGCCACCATTAACGGATTAACGCGCGAGATGTGCCATCTGCCAAGTGACAGTTTTATTATCTGGACGGCTGCCTGTAGCAATTCTGTTTCTCTAACGTCAAATCAACTTCAATTTTATAAACTTAACCACAGATTTTAGATTCTTCAACACAGATTTCTTTATTATAAATTGTAACATTTTTAGTCAAAATTGTTATTGTATAAGTGAATTTGAACTAGATTTTACAACATAGTAAGCAATGTCAATGTATTATTTATAATAATATTTGTTGAAATTTAAAACTATTTATATTTCATTATAATGGTGCGAAGCAGGTAAGGTTACATACTGTTAATAAAATTTAATTTGTATTGCCATATTAATAAAGCAGTAAATTTTATAGTCGCGATGGAAGACGTAGAAGTCGAAGTGTTTCTCCTTCTGTAGAACGTAAACGGCGTCGATCCCGCAGCAGAGATAGGGGCTCTAAGTCAAGTAGGCATCGAAGATCTAGATCTCGAGACAGACGAGACAGAAGTCGTGATAGAAGAAGGTCGGCATTCAACAGAAATTTAAGTCATAATATCATGTGATAAATAATACTATTAAATAAGAACATTATAAAATGGTGTGAAACACTTTAACTTTTAACTGATTATTTTATATACATTATGGTTTTGTCTTTATTGCAATATTGATAATGGAATACTAAGAAGTGAATCTTTGTACATTTTTCATAACTAAACCTAATATTTATTAATGAGGAAAAATCTTTTTTATTTTTATTGAAAGATGACATTTAATTATTAAGTATTTAATTTATGATATAAAATAATGTTTATATTTCTGGATAAAAATTATAACTAATTCAATTGCCCAATATTTCAGAGCTGATAGTAAAGAGAAGGAGCGAAATCGCGAGAGTCGATCCCGTAGATACTCACGTTCCTCATCCAAGGAAAGAGAAAAGGAAAAATCACGTAATGCAAAGGAAGATAAAGAGGATCATTTTGTTCCAAGTCTTGTAGAAAAGGTGAATATTATGTTTCTTTGTCTGGATATTATTAACTTCCCGTAGGGTAAGTTATAGTAATCGCCAAAAAATAGAAAATGAAAATTTTTATATATCTTTACGTTTCAAAGGATGTTTGTGTGTGTGTGTGTGTTTGCGCGTGTGTGTATCTGTGTTCGGATACAAATTTTCGTCGACGATTTCGGGAACATGGATGAAGCGATTTGAATAATTAAAAAAACATCCGATTCGTATTGATAAGGAGACGTGCTGATTAGTTTTTGGCGAAGGCAGGTTTAGTCGTTCCGAAGATAAGGGGCAAAAAGTGCCAAAAACGGTAACTCAGTTTTTAAGAGAACGGAGCGTCCGATTTGAATAATTCAAAAAACATTTTACTTGTATTAACAAGATGAAGAACTGATCTGAAGGCAGGTCTAACGGTTTCGGAGATCTAGTAAAAAAAAGTAAAAAAAATGCCACCTGGCGGTCAAAAATGATCATTAGACATATGCACATCAAACTATCGTATATTTTATAGAGATTTTAACAATAAGTATAAATTTTGTTTACATTCCTATGGGTTTCGTACCAATGCTTATCTGTTAGACGGCGGCGCGGCGCTTACACGCTTCTATATTTCGTCTCTATGCAATTAAAGTACTACGATTGCTTTGAAAAAAAGTTCAGAATTTCCAAAATAATTTAAAATACACTTTTTTCCAAAAAGTCTTTTTTTCAAAAAAAAAGTAAATTTTTGTCAAAAGTTTATAGTTTCTCAAAAATCTAATTTTTCAGGCGAAATTTTTTTCAAAAATGTTAATCTTTAAAAAAAAAAAAAAATTGGTACGGGAAGTTCCAGCATTTTGCCTTAAGGCACGATGCCATGCGCCCGACTAGTTTTTAATTTTTTTTTTAGAACATGGAAATACTTTCTTATTTGACACAAAAGTCGAATTTGTTTGCAACGATGAAAATAAAGCCGCGGTGAAAACATAATTGAAATCTGTATTTATACAAGCTATATGATGTGTAAATAGTAACTTTATTATTTAACTATAAATAATTTATATTTTAAATTCTGTTTCATTAATTTTGAATTTATATTAAATTGTATGTTGGAATAACTTTCACATCATCGTTTATTGTATTATGATTATAAGTGCACACACAATCATATTTGCATTCTTCAAAACTTAATAATAATAATTTTATCTGTTTTATAATGTGTAGTAGAATTAAATCTAGCAAATAAACAAGAAAATTCAAAAGTGCATGAACTGCCAGTTTGTCATCAAATTTACTGCCTACTTTGTATATGTGTGTGTATTTCTTATGATATCATAACATTTGGAGATAACAATTAAAAAAACATCTTTATTTAATTATGTTGTGATATGAACATTAATTTAGGAAGAAGAGCAAAAGCGACTTGAAGCAGAAATGCAAAAAAGGCGCGAAAGAATTGAGAGATGGCGTGCTGAAAGAAAGATGAAAGAAATGGAGGTTTCTAAAAAAGACAAGTCTTCATTCTTAGCAAACCTTCAACTACCAAGTGCCAAAAAATGGTCTCTAGAAGATGATAGTGGTGATGATGCTGATGCTGACGATAATAAAGGTGCATCAGGAGAAGGTGAAATGGAAATTGATCCCTTGGATGCATTTATGGAGAGTGTACAAGACGAAGTCCGAAAGGTAATTTATATATATATATATATATATATATATATATTGATGAGTTATTTAGAATCGGGCAGTAACACCAAGTAAAAAAAAACTAAAGTAGTTTTGAAATACTTTATTTATCCATACGTTTCGGTGTTCATCGAGACCGTCATTCAGTGGAAAAACTAAAAGATTTTATATAATGTAGAAATAATATGAAGTTCTAGAACTTATATATAAATACTTACAGAAAATTAATTATACAAAAATACACTACACTATTACACTGTGATAAACCAAGCTATTAATAACTGGAACATTTAAACTAATTATTTTTTGACAATTTTTGGTTACATTCTAGTGTGTACAGATTAAGTTACGTCTAAATACTGAATGAATTGTGTTTACAAATTTTGCGAAAGTGTAAAAAGACTGGCAAACATATGTTTTTAGTAAAATGATAAAATACACACTTCATTCAGATATGGTGGTGTTTTGAAAAATGGTTTAATGTATGGCAAACATATCACACCAGAAAGAGTTTCTGAGTCAGGTAAATCGTTTTGTGCTGTGGAATTGTTCATTTTATTCAAAAGTTATGTTCATCTGTTACTGGTTACGGAGTTTATAAGTTTTAAGGGATTGGAGTTATCTGTTAGAATTTTCGTAATTAAATTGATGTTGTTGTCCCAAAATATTTTTGTCCGATAGAAGTATTGCGTGGTCAGATAGATTTATTATAGTACCTATTTTCATTTTGAGTGGATGATAAGAAAAGTAGTTAAGGTAACGTCCAGAGTCAGTTGGTTTTTGGTACCAATTTGTTATTAGTTTGTTATCCATAGTACGTATAAGTTTTATGTCTAAGAAACTTATCGAGTTCATAGTCTCCAATTCTACTGTAAATTTTAATGTTTTATTGACGTTATTAAATTGATCAATTATCATAGTGACATCATCACTAGGGATACAAGTGATAATGTCATTTACATAACGGCAATAAAAAATATGTTTATTGTAATTTTTAAAAATTATATTTTCAAGAAGTTGTAAAGATATTTCTGCTAAAGATGGACTTGTGGCGACCCCATTGGCGCCCCAAAAATTTGATAATAGAAAGAGCCATTGAATTCAAAATAAGTGTTAGAGACAATGAACTTGACAGTTTCCCTGAACCAGTGCAAAGATAAAGAAGTCAACAGAGAAATTTCATCCCATCGGGTTGTTATAGCGTCTAAAATAAGGTCTAGGGGTACATTAGTAAAAAGTGAGACTACGTCTAAGCTAATTAGTTTGTAGTTGTCGGGTATATAATTTATCTTGTGTTTTAAGTAAACAAATCTCTTTTATTTAGATAGTATATCTAAATTTCTCACAAAACAATAAAAACGACGCACAAAGGATTCGCAATTCGTTCCACACATGTGTAGAATCTTGGTGAAAAATATTTTTTAAAAAGTCCTTTCTCCATTATATCTTCAACCAGTCTACGAACAACACACTATCCAATTGTGATTTTTTAAATTAGTATTTGGTGAAAATATTGTGTAATTACAAGTTCAATGTTTATAATACATAGTGTTGTGCATTACCATACCTTGATACCATGGATTATTAAAATTTTCCAATTTAACACTAAGATTAACTAATTGTAAGTACTATTTACTATTTTATTTTTTTTTTCACTCCAATTCAATTGTTTTAGTTTTTAATTTTATTTTTAGTTTCCACTGAATGAAGGCTAGGATTATAGCCGAAACGTATGGATTTAAAATAAATTTTTGAAAGAAATTCATGTTTTTATTGATGTTATGCCCGATTATTAGACTTTGTTAATACATATGTCAACATCAAATTCAGAATCATACAATATATATATATATATATATATATATATATATATATATATTACTATTATTATTATATATATATATATATATATATATATAATATGGTAATGATGGACCTGAAACTGATCCTTAGGTTTAATAATATTTTTTAGTTGGTGTAAATTTCTCAAGAAAATAAAAACTTTCAATATTCACACAACGTATAACAACAATCTTTTTACAAGTGCATGTAGTCACTTATATTTGCACTTTTATCATGCTAATAGTTATAATAAAAGTAAAAGATATGCTATAAATACTTTTATTTTGTTACTTTATTTCTCAATGTATGTAGTTGAAATTTATAATGATAATTCAATATATAATCAGGTCAATAAATTGAGCAAGGTCAAAACTAATACTGCTAAAACAGCTGGAGTCGTAATAGTTACAGGGGTGGCCACTCAAAAGACAGAGAAAAATAAAGGGGAGCTTATTGAACAGAACCAAGATGGATTAGAATATTCATCTGAAGAAGAACAAGAAGATATAAAAGACACTGCCGTCAACTTTGCAAATAAACAGAAGAAAGACCTTGCCAAAGTGGATCATGATGAAATTTCATACACAAAATTCCGCAAAGCATTTTATGTCGAAGTGAGTATTGTTATATTGCTCTGAAATGGTGTGTACCTAAGAAGTGTTTTCAGAACTTTAACATTTTTAATGTTGAACATTTTTTTGTCATACGTTTGTTTTGAGGTTTCATTATATGTTTATTTTTTAATAATAAGGTACCTGAAATAGCACGAATGACTAATGAAGAGGTGGAAAAATATAAAGAAGAGATGGAAGGCATTGCAGTTAGAGGAAAAGGATGTCCAAAACCTGTTAAGGTATTAAGAGTGTTAATGAGCATTTAGTAATTACTTCATCAAATGTATTCAAAACAAAACAAAATCTTGCAGGCATGGGCACAGTGTGGTGTGTCAAAAAAAGAATTAGATATATTAAAAAAATTGGGTTATGAGAAACCCACACCAATTCAAGCCCAAGCTATTCCTGCCATAATGTCAGGCAGAGACTTGATTGGAATTGCAAAAACAGGCAGTGGTAAAACACTAGCATTCATGCTTCCTATGTTCAGGTATAATTAAATTCTAATTACATTTGTTTTGAAAAATAGTATATATGCTTTATTGAAATTTTTGGTTTTGTATGAGATTGTACATAACAAAGTGTGATGGATCCATTACCACATAAACATATTGCAAAAGCAAGAAAACATTTTGTTTGTAGTGGTTTTGTATGAGATTGTATATAACAAAGTGTGGTGGATCCATTACCACATAAACATACTGCAAAAGCAAGAAAACATTTTGTTTGTAGTGGTTTTGTATGAGATTGTACATAACAAAGTGTGATGGATCCGTTACCACATAAACATGCTGCAAAAGCAAGAAAACATTTTGTTTGTAGTGTAGAAGCTGTAAATATAGTTTGTTTTAATAAATGGTTTATTTATTCATCACGCTTTTGTTTAAGTTTCATAGGCATTACACTTTGGATAACTATATTGATTGGTATTATTTCAAGAACATTTATTGGAAAGCCATATATATAATTTAAATACTTTTAGGCATATTTTAGATCAACCACCCTTAGAGGAAACTGATGGACCAGTCGCTATTATTATGACTCCGACCCGAGAGTTATGTATGCAAATTGGAAAAGATATACGAAAGTTTTCTAAAAGTTTAGGTTTAAGGCCAGTATGTGTTTATGGAGGCACAGGTAATTATTGATTTCTCTTTCTATTTTGTGTTTCAAAACTAGATCTGATTTCTTCAAATGAAACCAAATGGTTTTTCATGTAAAACTGGTATCACTAAGTACCAGTACAATAAGTATAAAACAATATTTAATTTTTTGTTTTTAATAAGTTAAATAAATAAGTCAACTTTTCTTGTAAGCAAATTATATAGAAATCAATTAGAGGCATTAATAATAAAAAATACCATAAATGAAAATTACATTATTGAAATGATAATATCTATAAAAAAATTTAATATCTACTACATTATTCTCAGCTAAATTTTATTCTGAAGTTAAAATAATATTGAATTAAATATAATCATATATTTTACAATTTTAATTTACTTTATAAATCAGGTATATCAGAGCAAATAGCTGAATTAAAAAGAGGTGCAGAAATTATTATTTGTACTCCAGGAAGAATGATAGATATGTTGGCAGCGAATTCTGGCAGAGTGACAAATTTAAGGAGAGTGACATACATTGTTTTAGATGAAGCTGATAGGATGTTTGACATGGGATTTGAACCACAGGTATGCAGAATAATTTATTTTAAACATGTGGAGCATTCTATGTTTTTATGTAATGTAGCGGGATATGATTAATAAACCAATTTTAGGTTTTGCCAAATACTGTAATCAATACACTATTGCAAAATACATATATTATCTAAAATGTGGGGATCATCCTAATATTAACATCGCGGGCCTCGGCCAATACACAAGAGACGATATTTGGTATGGCAATCACGCCATGCCAAAATATATACTGATCGACCCATAGCGGTAAATGAAACTTGGCCGGACACAAATTTTCTCCCTTAGAGTGAATAAATCTTTTATGATGTTTTTCTTCTTTTGTGTTATTATGTGTTATTATAAATAGTGCTATGTGATTTTTTTTGGGGACAAATTTTCTTTCCTCTTTTTTTGTCACACAAATATGAATTTATTTATATATTCTGAATTAATTATTGTTTGAAAAATCAAATCCAATGAAGAATACAATACCTACGGGTAAAAAACCCATGTTATAAAATGCAATGTACATACTTACATTTATTGAAATATATATGTTTTTGACCTTGACCTTTTTTGACTAATAATTTTCACCTTTCAAAAACTCTGTTTATAAATATACGAGCGCCTTTCGCTACGAGCGTCATTTATAGGCGGCAACCAGCATGACGACTTTGACCTAAATTACTGAGAATTATAATTTTTTATTGTGGTCCAAGCATTTTTTTCAATTCCAATTTTTAAATTATCCATTTTTTTGAATGCAAGAACTATTTAAAAAATGGAGAGTTGTACTAATTAGTTATATGTAGTTTCTAGGTCTAATAGTTAAAACCTAATTTTTTTTTACATTTACTCAAAATCTTATAAGTATATTTCTAAAAACTTTTCAAAAAATATTGGTTTTATGTAAATATATTACTTTGTTGACAATAGATGAATGTTTTGTTTTTCATTTTCTCAAAAAGATTTTGAAGTATTTTGAAATCTGTTCGAAAATGAATAGTTTAATTAAAAGCACATTCATTGATATGGTGTAAACATTGGCAAAGTAATTTCATTAAATTCAATCAAAATGTCAATAGTTTCGAACAAACATTCATTAAACCTTTATGTTTTCACAGTTTATGAAACACTGAAAATTTAAGAGTTACTTAGAGTTTTGCAATTCTCTTTATTAAGTATTTTTAATGTACTTGTTTAATGAAATTCTTAATCATTAATGGCAATTTAACTAAAATATTTTTATAATTTGCCAGGTTTGTTTGACAAACTCAACTATTTTCAATATGGGAAGTTCATGATTTTTAGGCTATTGTTACATTAAAGTTACTGTACCACACATCTATTTAATAATAAGGTGTACTGTAGTAACATTATGTAGTTTGAACTATATTAAAATTTTCTTTTTTAGGTAATGCGTATTATAGACAATGTAAGACCTGATCGCCAAACTGTTATGTTTAGCGCAACATTCCCAAGACAAATGGAAGCATTAGCTAGGAGGATTCTTCAAAAGCCAATAGAAGTTCAAGTTGGAGGTAGAAGTGTAGTTTGTAAAGATGTGGAACAAAATGTTGCTATTCTGGAAGAAGATGCAAAATTCTTCAAACTTTTGGAACTACTTGGGTTATATCAACAATTAGGTAGCATTATAGTATTTGTGGATAAACAAGAAAATGCAGATATATTACTCAAAGATTTGATGAAAGCAAGTTATAATTGTATGAGCCTTCATGGAGGGATTGACCAATTTGATAGGGATTCGACAATAATTGATTTTAAGAGTGGAAAGGTAAAAAAAAAATAGCTCTATCAATATCAAAAATTTTATTCTTGCTTTTATTTTGTTAATTAGTATAATATTTTACATTCTCGTTCAGTTTGTAAAATGTAATTAACAAATAAAGTTGCAATTGATTAAATGCTTTATATTATAAGTAGCACTAGTTGTAAATTTTTATCTGATTGTAATTTCAATAAACATTTAAAGTGTTTATATATTTATAAACCTAGTTTTTTTTTAATACATTTCGATATCTCTGAGTAATTCTAAGAAGTGTATCACTTACCATTTAAATTAAATCTACATTGAGTTATTCTTTTATATTCATATAGGTCAAGTTATTGATTGCCACATCAGTTGCTGCAAGGGGTTTGGATGTTAAGCAATTGATATTAGTTGTCAATTATGATTGCCCAAATCACTATGAAGATTACGTTCATAGGTAATGATAATAACATCAAATATTCCTTTTTGTACATCAAATTTTTCTAGAATACGTTTGTGCATTTTTGTTCAAAACTTAGTTTTTTTAGAGCTTAATTAATTATCCAATCTATTGTTGGAATTGAAATCTGAAGTCAGTTTTATATAACTATTTATTTTCTCAATTAGATGTGGAAGAACAGGTAGGGCGGGTAATAAAGGTTATGCATGGACATTCTTGACCCTTGAGCAAGGAAGATATGCTGGTGATATCATCAGAGCTTTAGAACTATCTGGGAGTACTGTGCCTGATTCGCTTCGAACATTATGGGATAATTACAAGACTGAACAAGAAGCTCTTGGCAAAAAAGTACACACAGGTGGAGGTTTTAGTGGAAAAGGTACAAAAAATATTTTTACATCCAGGCAATTCATTCTGGTAATATATCTTAGATTTTTAAACTAATTATATTGAAACCTAATTAAATTTCACATTGTTCACCAACTTGCCTTATGGCACAGTAGGTTCTATTATTGTATTAAATTTATTTATCTTCAGGTTTCAAATTTGATGAATCTGAGGCAGCTGCAGTATCTGAACGTAAAAAGCTCCAAAAGGCTGCATTAGGTCTTCAAGACTCAGATGACGAAGACATGGAACAAGATATTGATCAGCATATTGAAAACCTCTTTGCTACCAAACGCACAGTAAAGGAAGTTAAGGTTTGTGCCAATACAATGTGATACCTGATAACATATAAATGTCATTTGTTATCAATAATATTATACATATATATTTGTACCACATTTTATGCAGTTGAACCTATTTTATATCTATATTAATGCAATTTTTGTTTCAGGCTCCCAACTTACTTGCTCAGTTAGGCAATGTTTCAAATACAACTACAGATAAATTGGAATTAGCAAGGAAATTGGCTTCGCAAATCAATCTGGCCAAGAATCTTGGAACTGAAGCAAAAGGTGCAACACAGCAAGCTGCTGAGGCTATTCTAAAAGGAGCCGGAGCACAACCATTGATCACTGTAAGTTATCAGATTTGTCTTTGATTGATCACAATTTCAATGTAGTATTATTATACTATATATAATTACAAATTAAATATAAAAGGTTAACGATTTCATATTTATGTTAAATATGTTGTATTTATTTGTTTAATACATGTATACAAATGCGTACTCCTTCAATCTTAATATGTAATGTTGAATAGTTGTTCAGAGTTAATTATTATTGGTAACTTCTTCTGATGCACACATAAACGCTCGTTTTGAAATATCAACAAATAGAACTTAGTTTTGAAAGAATTTTTCTTCTTTACTTTCTGCGTATGTTTTTTTTTATTATTAAATCAATCTGATTTGAAAATTTAATTAAAGGCTAAAACAGTTGCTGAACAATTGGCAGCTAAGCTCAACACTAAATTGAATTATCAACCTAAAGAGGAGGATGATCGTTTAGCAGGAGATGAACCAGATCAAACATTCCGCAAATTTGAAGAAGAACTAGAAATTAATGACTTTCCACAGCAGGCAAGGTGGAGAGTCACTAGTAAAGTTAGTATCATTATTTATAGCACAAACTCGTACATTGCATGTGTATACTTTGACAACTTATCGCATTTTGAATTAAAAATTGTTATATAAATATAATTACCAATTATTATTTACTTAATAATATAAAGAAGTACACTTACATTACAATATAAAAGTTATATTATTAAGAAATGTTGCAATTAATTTGTAAAACAATTACTGATAATTTTATTATAGTGTATATGAAATTATCTATAATCCATACATATAAATTTTTTAAATATTTATAATAACTTGAATTTAGTTGAGAATTTATGTTGTTTTACTCATTATTTTAGGAAGCTCTTGCACAGATCAGTGAATATTCTGAGGCAGGTCTCACAGTACGTGGCACATTTGTCGCTCCTGGTAAATCACCACCAGAGGGTGAACGTAAATTGTACTTGGCTATTGAAAGTTCTAATGAACTTGCAGTGTCCAGAGCAAAATCAGAAATCACTAGGCTTATCAAGGAAGAATTGCTGAAGTTACAGAGCTCTCATCATGCAGTAAACAAAGCCAGATACAAAGTTTGTTAGAAGAAACATGTTTTATTGAAGAGACATTATCTATAATGGGACAGATGTATCTAAAATATACATGTCTTTTTTTAAATTCAATATGTTTTGTAGTGTGGTGTGATTGATTGACATATTTGCAGATGGATGTGTGTAAATAGTTTAAATATTGTCTCCCATTGTAATTTGTAATACAAATTTCATTTTCATTTAGATTAAAATGTATTAGAAATTTTTATTATATGTTACTGATAATTACTAATATTTAAGTGGATATATAACCACTCAATGTTTATTTCCAATATTAGAATGCACATCAGTTTGTAGAGAGAAATGTGTACATATTTTTGAATTTATTCGTGGGGTGCATTTCACTTTCTGGAAAACTCTAAATAACTTTATAATAAATATGGTTTTGCAGAACAACTAAAAATACAGCAATGTAGTGAAGCAATATTTAATTCATGAAGTGAAATATATACTATTACCCATATATAAATATTATTTCTAAACAGTACTTTGTTTCCAATTATATCAAAATTATATTCATAAAAATATAATTATCATAAATCTTCATTTGCCTTTGTAGTATACTTTTTTCCTTTAGAATATTCTTTGAACTTCGTAGGACAGTAGCAAGATTCTTTTTGTGCATCTATGTAGGATTTACATCCTAATGTTAAAGTACCTGTAAAAAGCATTTTTGCTGCTCCTTTACATCCTGTAAGTATATAAATTCATAATTCTAAAATGTATGTGAATTAATGTAATATATTTAGGATAATTATAATATAGCATAGCACAAGATTGAATTCAATATTTATCCCATTTTAATTATAGGCATAATATAGCTATAAAATTAATTCATAGTTTTTGTAATTCATTGTAAAGTGTGCTTTAATTGTAAATCAAGTGTTACAAAGCACATAGATAGTTGAGGTATATGTGACTGATCTTGAACCAATTTGAAGAAAAGTAACCCGGATGTTCAAATAAATTTAATTTCACATATTGCAAAAAAAATTCTGCTACTTAGTATTTTTCATAGTTACAGCCTAATTATAGTATGTAGTAAGAAAAGGGAAAATATGGGCCAGTTGAATGTTTATTGAACCACCTATGCAATGATATTGTTTTAGATTTTTCAGATGAGCGAAGAATAATGATTTTCCAGTAACAAATTACCTTTCATGACCAAATCTCCCACTGTTTTCTCATAAGTATCACAATACTTGTACAAACACCGTTTAAATTCAATATCACATAACTCTTTATCTGAATTGCAAGTATCATAACAAATATCATGAGCATCACAACATATAGTCATCTCTGCTATTGGCAAATACTGCGAGTCTATTTGCAATCCCAAACTTCCACATCCATCTGAGTGTGGAATGTGATGCTTGTTTCGCTGCGGTGGTGATCCTAGAAATTTTATTAACTTGCTTTCTAAAGCCATTAAAGAACAAATGTATTTCAAATCTGTAACAGCAAAACCAAGGAGCAATATGTACGAAACCGAGATACATACAATGTAGCTTTAATTTATCTGATAAAATATGAAAATATTAAATGTCATTACTTCAAACAGAACATAAATAACGAAAATTATATACTGTACTTGTGTCAATTCGTTCGCAAACTTACCGTCCGGGCATGTATATCGGCAATTTTCTTCAACAGCGGCATCGAAAACATCGTGTATCACCTTAAATTTCTTCGCAACAGTTATGATGTTTTTTAGTATATCGCCGAAGACAGCTTCAGCGGCGATTAAAGCGTCTCGTACATTTCCTAATACGCCAGCACCGTAACCAGAGTAAGCGTATGTCAGAAAGGTTAAAGCGTAAATTGCAATTTTTACGTAAGGAATATGCATTGCTCTAACTAAACAAGTCATTCACGGTTCAACTGAAATTCGACGGGCGCATAAAATTCAGATGAAAAGCACACGTAAGTAATGGATTGTTGCCAAGAACTGAATCATACATATTTAAGCACGTTAAATGAAAAACTCGATATGTTTTAAAAGTTTATTTAATAAGATTTAAAAAAAAATATTCAAACTTTTGACATTATGGTTTCTAATTCCCCGCTCTCGTACAATGACTTCACATCGGACCCACCGCCAAGACATTCGCCGTTTACGAAAACGCGTGGAACCTATAATAATGTAACCATTAAATGCCATTTTTATATCTGATTCAATTTGCTTTTTTTTTTAATTCTCACCGTATGAGCGCCGGTGATCTCACCCAAAACTGCTTGAATGCTATCCCCGTCATCCCTGCCGTCGAGCTCGATTGCTGTGTACTTACGCTTCAATGTGTCAAATACCTGATATGAAAATTAAATTAGCGCAATTATGAAAAACCATCAAAATCTTTACCAAACCTCTTTAGCCATCTTGCAGTAAGGACAATAAGACTTCGAAAAGATGACGACTACATCACTAGCTATGAGATCTTTTACGAATTGTTGTGTTTGGACACTCATTGCACCAGCGTTTCGGACCGTTCCTGCGGCAGGTCTGCTGAAGAATAAACCCATTTAGGTTACAGATATTATTGATTTTTTTAGCATTTGAATCGAAACAAAAGATGTCCTCTTTATCTTTATTTAATTTCGGTATCGTTATTGATAATAAAAGTTACGACATTTTGAAAACCAGTGAGTCAAAAACATTTATGCTCGTGACGCACTACATCATATCATTTTCCTCGTTCAACATTCGCATCGAGCTAATTTCTGGTTGCTTACGTCCTTTTATATATCGATACCGTAACCGACTGCATCGATAAAATTAATTTAATTTGCAGATAATAATATAACCTCACTTTTCTCAGATTATCTTGTCATTTTTCATGTAAATAGTAATCGTTTGAAAATTTATAAACTAATTGAATTTATTACATTCCACAACTAAAACAAAAACATTGACAAAAATAACAATTGCGAAATCGGAATTTATACAAAAAATATTTGTTAGTTATAATCGCATGCTATGAATTTTATCGGGTCGGAAAATAAACAATAGTCAGTTATGAATATAATAAATGTATTCTCTATTGTTGTATTTATAACTCAATAATGTCGTTTGATTTTTTATATAAATATTTTCATTTGACGAATATAATATTACTTATAATAATAATTGATTCCTACTGTGGTGATTAATGTCAATGTTATGACAAACCGTTCGGTTAATTTTTCAAAATGTTTTGGAAGCGTGAAGAATCTCACGATATGTGTGCGTTCGCCTTCAGATGAAGATGAAGCTGTACGCTTTATCGATAATTATATCGAACTTCGATGGCAGAGCGAGAGCCCTCTTATGTGAGCAAGGGTAAAGAGAGACGGAAGTCTCATATAGAATAGAAGTATAGAACTTGCGATCAGCGATCGTCGCGTCACGCCATTACAATAAGAGTTGCAGAGCGGATCGATCATAAGTGCTTTGTGGAAGGAAAGTCTAAAATAAGGTAAGAGTAGTTCAATATTTATTATATTAGTTATGTCATAAATCTGCATGTTTCCCTATGTGTAAAACGCATTAAATATTGATAACAATACTAGACACGGTTACTTCGTGCCGGTGCGTTTAACTTAAGACGCCATTGTTACTAATAATGCGTCGTATATTTTGTTATCGTTAATCGTTCTTAAATCCTTCATTAAAAATATAATTTAGTCATATCGCGTCGACGTTTATACGATTTTCAGAATATAAACTATGCCGGGTACCGGGACGTTCAAATTATTCATCGGAAATCTTGACGAAAAAACTCAAGCGTCAGATATACGTCCTCTGTTCGAGAAATACGGGACGGTCGTCGAATGCGATGTTGTCAAGAACTTTGGTTTTGTTCATATGGAGACCGAACAGCAAGGTCGGGATGCAATTCAGAACCTAAACGGCTACGTAATAAACGGCGAGGCCATAAAATGCGAAGCCGCCAAGAGCCGGAGGGCGCCGTCAACCCCGACGACAAAGATATTCGTCGGAAATTTGACAGATAAAACTCGCGCGCCGGAGGTTCGCGAACTGTTTCAAAAATTCGGTACAGTCGTCGAATGCGATATCGTTCGTAACTACGGTTTCGTGCACTTGGACGCGAGCGGTGACGTGAACGAGGCGATTCGGGAGCTGAACGGAATGATGGTCGACGGGCAACCCATGAAAGTGCAAGTGTCCACGAGTCGCGTGCGCCAGAAGCCGGGCATGGGTGATCCCGAACAATGCTACCGCTGCGGGCGTGGGGGACACTGGTCCAAGGAGTGTCCCCGTGCCATGGGGGCCGATCGTAACGGCTTCCGGGAGAGGATGTTCGCTCGCGACCCGTACCCTCCGCCGCCGCCACCGCCATTCCTGCGCGACCGGATGATGGGCGGATTCCGGGTATAATAATTTTTTTATCAAAGGAAACAATCGGAACAACGGTTTTTATAATATAAACTTGTGCGATCGTTGTTTAACATGTCCGATTTTTCATTTTTATCTGCTTACTGATACTGTTGCAAATTGTCTCGACTTATTAGTATTCATTAATTATAAATTTTATCAAAATTAACTACTATTCAACCCTTTAGTAGGTTGACAAGAGATTCTTTGCTATTATCTCTAAATCTATATATTAGAATTACATAAGTCTGCAATTAAATTTTCTTGTAATAGAAATGTAAGATACTTCAACATCATTAAATTCTTTCTTTATAAAGAAAGAAATGTATTGCATAAAATACTTGATTGCATAATTTAGAATATTTAATTGCAAATCTCACTGTATTTGCTTTTTTTTATTGTAAAGAAAATCACATAGTAGTGATTGTCTTTGATATTTAAATATAAATCATTAATATTACCTCATCTTTAAGGATTCCTATGACCCTTACTACGATAGAGGATATGATGGTTCAAGGGATTTATTTGAGAGGCGTTATCCTGGTGGAATGCCAGGTATGCGTGGTGGGCGAGATTTCATGCCGCCAAGGAGAGAAGCTATGCCTCCATTACCCCCCTTAGGAATGAGAAGTGGTATGGGATCTATGAGGTCATCCAACTATGATGCAATATTTAGCAGGCGTAGTCCACAAGGCAGTGTAGCAGGCGGCAGTGGAATGCCAAGAGCTGGTGGTTTTGGGTATATATAATTATATGGAAACCAGTTCAAAATATTAGGTGACTAATAAGATTTCTTTCCAGAGATATGTACCAAGATTTCAGTCGAGATTCTTTTGATGATAGAAGGGCAGGAGGAGGAATGAGAGGTCCTTCACCAACACACAGATATGCACCTTACTAGTTTTATATATATCACAACAGTATATTTAGGTTTTACATTAAAATCTAAGAATTTTTTGTACGATTGGAACTTGTTGATTTTGTATTCAAATCAATGCTTGAGTTTCATTGTTTGAACAAGAACTCTTCAGAAAATATGTTTATGTATTGACATTTCATGTATATGTTTAGGATAATTTTATGTATTGCGTAGTAAACTAAGTTATATATATATAGGCTGTATACAAATACTTGTGTTTATATTTTCATATGTAATATTTGTTACAGCATTTATGTCTTAATAATAAAATACTGAATAAATTCCATTTTATTTTTTCATTTAAATTTAAAGACATTAGTCTAATTTATTTGTTCTAATTTGCAGTTATAATTTTGTTACATTACTAATGTCAAATCAATAAAATGCCAGAAGTGTGTGTTACCCATAATGTACTTTTACTTCATTTCATTTCTTAAATAAAATGTCAAGTTAAGATAATGTGCTTCTGTTACTTTTCTAAAATGAAACATTCTAATATATTAAATATTCATAAATGCAATAAAAGCTAAACATAAAAATATAATATATATACAGGGTGGTAACCCCCGCATAACGCGGTAGTTACGTTCCATAAATGTAGCGTGTATGCGAATCCGTGTTGTACGGGACAAAGAACTAATACAAAATGAGGCGATACGTCCAAGAATTAAAAAGCCATGCTACATATCATGTTTTTATTATATTTATTTATATTATTTATTAATTTATTTAAGAAGTAATATACATTACATGAGTCATATGATTTTTTATGCCATAATTAACTGGTAAGTAGTGCTATTCAACATAATCTTTTTTTTGCAAGACATCCTCATCTTCTGAGAAGTTTCCTGTACTACCTCCATATCCGTACATTATTTTTTGCAAAAAAAAATTATATGTATTTGCGATTAGTTGCTTTAAGCGAAAAATTATGTATATATTTACCACATGCAAAGTTAACTTTATCAAAATTTTATGTTCATTTTATTTAAAGAATCTTTGCTAAACACTAATTAATTAATAAGCCTAAACATTTTTTTATATAGAACGTACGCAACCGAATAATAAGTATCAAATTTGTTATATTTTGCATTAGTTTCATCACATTTATTGAGCTATTGTACTGCTATTTTACTAATTTTAGATTCAATAAATTTTGATTTTCATAGATTTTGCTATATTTTTTATTTTATTAGGGTTTTGCTCAGTTCTGAAACCGTATTAGAGCGAACCGTATTTTAGAAGTACTGTGTTATAAGGAGGATGGTATCAATTCTTAAATCGTGTTAAAGCGAATCCGTGCTATAGAAGTACCGTGGTATGTAGGGGTTACACACACATAACACGGTTTGAGCAAAATATATGACGAATTGCCAAACGATATTAAGATGACCAATGATGACGATAAATTTAAAAGAAAAATAAAGAAATATAAGGAAATTGAAGACAAAGATGACTGAAGAGTTATATAAAGATAGAGATTTTAATTATAATAGTTATTATAGTAATAAAATGTATATATAAAATATAAAAACTGTTTTCATAATCTCTCATACCAGGCACTTCTGTCTGTCTGAGATATGAAAATAATGTATATATAATATATATATAGTATATAATATATATATATATATATATATATATATACATTTATATATATATATATATATATATATATATATATATAAATTAAAAAAAAACTACATACAGTCAAAATAAATCCAAGTTATCAGTTATATAAAAATAGGCAATGATGCATTACTGCTTGTAAATAAATAAATGTAACATTCATTCGGATTATATCCAAAATTAAAATACTAAATTTATACCCTTTCATTTTTTTATTGAAATTATTCTTGTAAAGTTTTCCAGCAATTATTATTATTTGATGATATTTCTATAATGAATTTAACTCACATAATGCATAATTTCAATGACTCACTCATATTTAGTACAGATAAAACTGAAAAACAGTTAAATTAAAGAATGCCAATTTAAAACTTTCAAAACTGTTATCGTGCTTGAAAATACAAATCAGTAGTTTTCGCTCTGTTGGCAAATTCGATTTTAAACATGCGTTCATATTTACCGCCATTTAAACAAAACTCGTAGTGGCGCCATTTTTGCTTAAGTCTTGTGAACCCCTATGCCGGATGGGATTAAGCTAGCGTATATGCTGGCGCCACTCGATCTTCTGCTTAAGGTACCCATTTTGGTCACATGTGAGTATTGCATGTAAAATCATTCTAAATAAAGCACTTCTTTAGTAAAAGGTTTTAGTAAATTTGCTGTAAGTACCTGTGAAAAATTATTGTGATTTTAATTAATCCTCGCTTTAATTCAACTCTATTTCAATTATAACCGTGCTGAAAGTGGAAGTGACAAGCTGTTTGTTAAAGTTTGTTAAATTTAACATTTATTTTCGTAAAATGTGTTCGTGTTTTTCTTCACGCTTTTAATTAGTATTGTCCGTATACAAATAATATTGCTCGTCAATGTTGGCATTTCTTTAAGATTGCTTGTCATCGACATTTTTCTGCCGCGTGTACATACTGTGCAAAATACCCGGTCAAGATTAAGGTTTGGTGATATCAAGCTTTGTTAATTCCCATTAACACGCGGCGTTTTTCGTTTAGCAATTCAATAAATGTAAAATAAAAACAATTATTAGAGTTGAAATAAGTGATTATATGAGTTTTCATATTTTTTAGTACACACTTCACAATGGCTGATATGGAAGATACTCATTTCGAAACTGGAGACTCTGGAGCTTCAGCGACCTATCCCATGCAATGTTCTGCACTTCGAAAAAATGGTTTTGTAATGTTAAAATCCCGCCCGTGTAAAATTGTAGAAATGTCCACTTCCAAAACTGGTAAACATGGTCATGCTAAAGTTCACATGGTCGGAATTGATATTTTCAACGGCAAGAAGTAAGTTTATTTAATAGTTAAATATTTTTTCTAACACTACGACTTTACATAAGTCATAATAATATGGCACCTGTAATGCTTGTAATTGTTAATACATAGATGTAACATTTCTTATATGCATTTAATTTATAGTATATCATGTCACCTTTATTTTTCAGATATGAAGATATATGCCCATCTACTCACAACATGGATGTCCCACATGTAAAACGTGAAGATTATCAGCTCACTGACATTGATGACGGTTACTTAACATTGATGGCTGACAATGGAGACCTTCGAGAAGATCTTAAAATTCCAGATGGCGAATTGGGACAGCAACTTCGTAATGATTTCGAATCTGGAAAGGAGCTTTTGGTAATTTCAACAAAATATATGCATATATATATATATATATATATATATATATATATATATATAGTATATATTGATCACCAATTTTTTTTTTTTTTACAGTGCACTGTACTAAAATCTTGTGGAGAAGAATGTGTCATTGCGATCAAAACCAACACAGCCCTTGATAAATAATGTATTTTTCAACACATTCAAAATTAAAATACTATGAGAACCAATTCAAACTGTTTAAACAAGTTTGACAAAGTTGTGTCGTTGATAATCCTAGTTGATGTATTGTCTATTAAAATCCTGACACTTCAAGCATTGTTTATGAATATATTGATCAAGAATACAAGGTTTTTAAGTTCTCTCTGGAATATTTTTTGTTCTTCCAGAGATGTTTAATTGACAGTTGTCAATCAATTGGGTTTTTCATAGACATACATTGTAACAGTATGCTTGTTTTAATAAAATCAATCAAATTAATAAATATCCATGATTAAGATTTATATGAATTAACATTTTTATTAAGTTTTTATTTATATAAATTTACTGGAAACTACTTAGCTTTTTCATTCAAATTTTCTTTCAGGGAATACATGCATACTTCCTACACAGTTAATAATTTATGCTTAATATTGCCTTGTGTTCAAATACAATTGCTGCATTTATAATAATCAGTTTTTTCACTTATTTTGAAAGAAAGAAGCATATGAAAACAAAATATGTAAGTTAAAAAACATTTTCACTGTTAAGTAAAAATTTCATTGAATGTATGAAAAATTTTTGTAACTATTATTGCCTAATTTCCCAATAAATAGCTGAATAATCAAAACTATTCGCTAAAGGTGCATATGAGCATCGAGTACCTTCAGTACAATTTTATCCAATCAGCATAAAAGGTTATAGAGCGCTGTTTGCTAAACCACATGTTGGTATTATCCGTGTTGCTTATTGTTTTAAGGTTATGTGTCCCGTCGTAACATAAATTTAATAATTACTATATGAAAATAAATATGTGCGACGGTGGAGAAAAATTAATGAGTGCTTGTTTACCTAGTAGTTCATTGTAAGAATATTAGCAATATATATTCATTTCAATTGAATAATTATTAGTCATAGAAGTACCATTTTTACCATTGTTTTCAATACTAATAGTTGTGATTTGATGAATACTAGATTGTCTCTCCAATAAATAAATAAACTTACTACAATAAATAAATAAATATTCTCACTAATTTGTTGTTAAATCATAGATGGTGAAAAATTTCCATATTTTTAGTAAAATCCTAAATAAGATTTAACAAGAATCATCCTAATATTTATTTCACAAAAGTATTGTTCACTGAATAATATGCTTAAATATTTTGATTACCATTCATTCATAATTGTAATAATATTATCATTGTTTAAGGGCTTTCTAATCTTTTCTTGTAGGAATGAACAACTATGTAAAAAATGTAAACAATCAATGGCTGTTTTATCATTACGAGGAAAGGATGTTTACTGTAAAGATTGCTTTTTACAAGCGGCAACTCACAAATTCAGAGCTGCTCTTGGCAAATCTAAATTTATTAGACCAGGAGATAAAGTGTTAGTAGCCTTAAGTGGAGGCCTATGTAGTTCTGCACTGCTGCATCTAATTCAAAATGGTTTATCTCAAGATTCACATAAAAGGTTACGATTTGAACCTATTTTGTTACATGTTGATGGTGAGTTTTTAAAAAAAAATTTCTGTGTAGTATTCACACCATCTTAATAATAGATTAGATATAAAACAATGTTGTCAACTATATGTATAAATAAATTATGGAACTTTCATATTCAAGTGCTTGCCATTAAATGTTATTTTGCAACATATCTGCAAAATCATTTATTGAATACTAATTTAAGCAATAATATTAAGTAGTTCTATATAACACATGAACCTTTTATTCATTGTTTGTAATTTTCTGATCTATGATTATTGCGTTATTCTAGAAATCTTTATTTATTTTAGAAACTTCATATTACCATGATGACACAATACTTTTGGAAGTTACTGGAAAGATGCAAAACTCCTTATTACCTTATTTTATAGTGAAATTAAATCAATCAGTTGCATCAGAAATTGTTCTAACAAATGATATCCAAGATTTGAAACATGATAATGATTTAGAAAAAAGATTTCAGTCTACACTTTCAAAAATTCAAACAGATACTTCAAAACAGGATTTTATTGAAAAAATCAAATACAATTTATATGCCAAAGTAGCTGCTAAATTAAACTGCAAATTTGTTTTTGTTGGTGATATATGTACAAAAATTGCTTCTACAATATTAAGTAATGTTGCTCTTGGAAGAGGAGCTCATTTATTTCTAGATGCGGTATGTACTATTTATTAAATCATAAATCACACATACGCACACACACATATATGTGTATATATATATATATATATATATATATAATAATTAATTTTTTTTGTTTGATGTTAATACATATCTTGAATATTGATTTACAGCCAATTTATAAGAATATATATATATATATATATATATATATATATATATATATATATATTAGGGTGGTCCTTAAAAGGGTCATTTTCGAATTTCCTTGCACCCAGGGGCTCAAATGGTTCCAAATAGATAAAAAACAATTCTCTGAAAATTTTAGCTCTTAATATTAACATTTAGATAGAGCGCAATTCAATCAAAGTTTTGTATGGAAATAGAATGGAAAAATTTTCAAAAATTTTAAAAATGTTTTGTAGATGTAATTTAGCGAACAAATAAATGAATAAAACTCATTTATTTTTCGCTAAGTTATACCTAAAACATTTTTTTTTAATTTTCAAAATTTTTTTCATGCTCTTCCCATACAAACTTTGATTGAATTGCGCTCTATCTAAACATTAATATTAAGAGCTAAAACTTTCAGAGAATTGTTTTTTATCAATTTGGAACCATTTGAGCCCCTGGGAGCAAGGAAATTCGAAAATGACCATTTTAAGGACCACCCTAGTATATATATATATATATATATATATATATATATATATATATATAGATTTTTGTTCTTACATTCAATTTTTTTTTTACCTCTGAAATGATAATGATCCGATTGATCTGATCTGAATATCAACCATAAACTAATCATCATTTCAATTATTATTACATTTTTTATAAACGTTGATTAGTGCATATCTTTTATAGTAAATACCAGTTCCTATTTTGTCAACTATTGTCTGTTTGCATTTCATCAACGGTAGTAATTAGATTTATTCTAGTGATTATGGTTTCATAGATATGGATATTACAGAGCTGTTTGTTTTAGCTTTTTATTTATGTTATATAGAAGTAATTTGTGATTATAATGATATCTTGTTTAACAGAATATTCTTCTATATATACATATATATATAGAATATATTTATATATATATATATATATATATATATATCTTGATATTGTTTATTTCAACTTTAAAACATATTGTGTTAAAGTTTTTCAGCCACAAGTCGAAAAAATAAAAACAGAAAGTAAATATGAAATCTTCTTTAATATGTTTCGAGCTGTTATACTAGCTCATCATTCAGCTAAAATACAAAAAGAGTAATAAAATAAAGTAACAAAATAAAATAAAACAGAATTAAAATTATACATACCATATTTATATTATAAATTCTATATTGGAGAGAGTTCACAATATATATCTAACAATAAGAGAATGCTTCAACATAATTGTAATAGAAATCAATACAAAACAATGTTATCTGACCATATGCAAAATTTTAAACACACTTTTGATTTAAACAATCCCATAATTTTATATATTGAACAAAATGTTGACCTAAGAAGGTGTGCTGAATCTGTTTTCATTTTTTTAAATTCACAATGTGTAAATAAGAGAAGTTCTTTTTCTTTGCTTATTGACAGCTATCATAATTTAATTAATGTATGTAAGTCTGATTTTTTTAATATTTGAACAATTTTTTACCACTTGATATTTTTCTTTCTTCTTCTTTTTCCGAATTTCAAATATTTTGATTTTTTTAAATTCTATATATATACATATTTTTTGTTTTTAGAACGAAATATTGATGTTATAATTGTCAAATTATATATAAAATAATTTTAAACTGGTTTGATACGTATAATTTTAATTCTGTTTTATTTTATTTTGTTACTTTATTTTATTACTCTTTTGGTATTTTAGTTGAATGATGAGCTAGTATAATAGCTTGAGATGTATTAAAGAAGATTTTATATTTACTTTCTGTTTTTATTTTTTTGACTTGTGGCTGAAAAACCTTAACACAATATATATATATATATCTATATATATATATATATATATATATATATATATATATATATATATATATATAATGAATAGATTATTACTTTCAGACGTTTGCAGATACACGTTATGAAAACTTAAAAGTATTGCGACCTATGAAGGATTTTGTAACATCAGAAATAGTTCACTATAATATATTTAATAACATACTTTCTGTAAGTGCCGGAGATAAAGCCAATTCAATTGTATCCAGTATTCAAAGTTTAACTGAAAATTTTGTAAATGACTTGCAAAAAAATTATCCAGCTACCGTTTATAGTATAACAAACACAGGAGCTAAACTCAGCCACCATCCAAGATTGTTGATGCAAACTGATCGATGCACTATATGTAATGTAAGTATGTTCTTACTTAATATTTTTATACAATATATTACGATTGTTGTGTTTTAGACTTGTAAAGAAAATATAATTTTTATCTTTTCACAAACAGAAGTTTGTCATTGAAGCAATTAAAAATTGTAAATTGTATCCAAATTAACTCACAACTAAGGTTTGCTCAAATAAAATCAAGGCATAAAATATATTGATATATTGATCTTTAATCTTAACTAAATCGATATTATTGCAGCTACTTTATGTATTAATATATTTGATTAGTAGTTTCTAAAAGGTGAATTTACATACAATATGCAAATGAGTTTCCATATATCATTAGCTCGACGAATCTTAATATAATGGTATTTTAAGGAAAGCCAATATATTCAAGCATAATACTTATTTACATACATACAAGTTTAATAATTTTAAATACAACACATTACATTTATATTACGAATAGCAACTTCTTTGAGCGTTTCAACAATATTTTCTTTTTCATTAGTTTTTTATATATCATTATTGGAATTAACAATATTTTCTTATGTCCACCAGGCATCTCTAGATACAAATGTTGAAAAAGCATCAGCTTTGGAAGCAACAAAGTTCTCCAAAGTTATTTCTTTCCTAGGACCTACTAAATTTACAGCGAGTAGTACCTTGTTGGAGCAAATTACTTCTGAATATGAAAAAGAACCAGAAGAGACTTTATGCTATGGATGTAGTTTATTATTGAGTGATTTTAACAATGAAGATATGTCAGATCTCTGTAAACATTTAAGCATAATGTAAAGTTAAGTAATATATATATATATATATATATATATATATATATATATATAATTTTTTGAAAAAAATATGTTCAGGATTTTTCCATGCTAAATCTGTATCATCTTTCAGCAATTCTAAATTAATTACATATTACCAATGAAACAACTATGAAAATGTTTTTTTAAAAAGTTAAAGCAGGAAATCCAACAGTAAAAGTAATAAAAATGTGCCTAATTAATGAAGTTAAAAGATAAATGAAATATTTAAAAAATAGGTTCAAAATGAAATAATTAATCACATCATTTTACAATACAAATTGAGTTTAATTGATGCTATTCAAATCAACTGCCAAATAACAAAACAATGCTACAGGAGAAATGGATTATGTCCAGTAGTTTTTTTAAAGTGGTTAATGTTTTTATAACTCGATGCAAAATGGAGAAACAAATAAAAAACAAAATTGAGCAAATTTACTACAGTCAATGTTTTTTTCTTTATATAAAATTAGTATTAGTGTGTATGATCAAAATTAATCATATGTGATCTTCAGATGTACAAATTCGTTAGTTGTTTTTTTTTTTTTTTTGTAAGTGTGTTGAGAACTTTCATCTGTATTGTCTTGTTTCTTTTTTCATTTAAGTAATGGGAACGAAATATATTCATTTCTTATTTATTCTGCCATTTAGATTTTTAGAACTTATATATATATACACATATATGAGTAAGTTCTTTGAGAGTGATACATCAAACAAACATAATAATCTTTCATTCCAAATGTTTCGACATACAATTTGATGTCATAATCAGTGGATATTAAACTTGGTTAATATTAAACACAAAAACACAGCACAAAAGTTTGCACTAACATTGATACAACTAACCAGTCATTAATCATTTTTGTAAATAAGAAAAATAATGAGAATTTTGTTTCACAAAAATGTAGAAAAAGTCACAGTAGTTTTACACAGAAACGTGTCATAACTATGGTTTACGAGGCTAATATCACATTAGTCTTGTTCGCGCAAACTTTTGTGCTGTACGCACATCTTTAGATGTAAGATACCAAGTTCAATATCCACTGATGATGACATCAAATTGTATATTGAAACGTTTGGTATTAAAGATTATTTTATAAATCTTTGACCGTTCTTAAGGAACTTATATATATCTCAACATCAAAATTAACTACTTAATCATATATATATATATATATATATATATATATATATATATGTATATATATATATATATATATATATATATTCAATAGATAAGTCCTGGATTTTTTCAATATATTGATTGTTTCTTTTCTGAACAGTAAATCCAATAATAAAAAAACAATTTGTTTTTGAAGATGTTTAATAACGACGTTTCGGAACTAGGTACGTTCCATCATCAGGTTTATTCTGTAATAATTTATATATCCATATCACTAATATTTTTTTGTTAAAAACACTCGATTTTTTTTGGAGGATATTTGTAGATGTTACGACTACACAAGACTTAAACACACACATCAGTGTGTGTAATTATATATATATATATATATATATATTCAATAGATAAGTCCTGGATTTTTTCAATATATTGATTGTTTCTTTTCCGAACAGTAAATCCAATAATAAAAAACAATTAGTTTTTTGAAGATGTTTAATACGACGTTTCGGAACTAGGTACGTTCCATCATCAGGTTTATTCTGTCAAATACAATGTTTTTTAAAATACTGATTAACATTAATTAACAATGGTCAATACAGATTAATTAGAAAAAATTTTGTTATAAAGGAATGGATTATGTACCGGATAGATAGTAATAAGACTTAACTAAAAAAGGTTTTATATAAAATTGAGAAGCAAAAATTATTTACCTGTAATAATTTATATATCCATATCACTAATATTTTTTTTGTTAAAAACACTCGATTTTTTTGGAAGATATTTGTAGATGTTACGACTACACAAGACTTAAACACACTGATATGGATTTCTGTCTGCCAGATGTAAAGGACAAAGCACGGAACTCTTGGCAAAAATGATTTTTTATGGCTCTTGTTTGGTAATTTACGAAAAAAGGAAAAATATTGCTTTAGTAAATGTAGAGAAATATTATGTATATATATATATATATACATACATGAACATGTATATGCACACCTACATACTCATACATACATATGCACATATCTATATATTAATGTATCCACAATTATACACATGAACACATATGCAAGTGTATGTGTATAGTGTATACCCAAAAACATACATATAAGCATATATATGGATGTACATATATTATAACATATACACATGTATATATATACACATATTCAAAAACTATTAGGATTAATTATTTTTAATCAGGTTTAAAAAATTTAAATATGAGTCATGAATGATATTGTGATCTGATCTTTTATTAACACTTTTTGACGAATTCAAAAAGATTAAACTGCTTTCAGAAAAAAGTCTTTTAAAAGTACAATCCTCTCTATATAAAATATTGGGTTCAAAGGTGAAATTATGTGAGTTTTCGATGGAATGCTGAACAAGAGTACTTTGGAAATTTCGGCTTTTATGATGAGTGACGCTTAATTCATGTTGTCTCATTCTCTTATGAATGTACTGTGATGTTTGGCCAATGTATTGTTTTTGACAATTTTTGCAAGGGATGGAATAAACTATGTTAGTATTGAATTTAGGAGGGGTGGTGGATTTAATTTTTGAAAACATTTCTTTAAAAGAATATAGAGCTGTTCCTGAAATGAAAATATTTTCTTCTTTGAGTAATTTGGCAAAATAATCAAATAAGCCTTCAATGTAAGGCATGCTGTGAAAAGTTGGTTTAATATTGTTGTCTTGGAATAACTTGGAGATGGATTGATAATTGTTACTTTTATGATAGGAAAGTCTTTTATTGGTAATGGAATTGATGAGGGTGAGGGGATATCCGTTTTCTAATAAAGTTTTAGTTACTAATGTTGTATTTTGGGTATGAAAAGAAGAGTGAGACAACATGATTGCGTGGTCTATCAAAGAAATGATTGTATTGACTTTATAATTTTTGGGACAATATGACGCGTAATGAAGGTATCTCCCGGACCATGTAGTTTTTCTGTACCAATTTGTGCAAATAATGTTGTCAATTTTGTGTACAGTCACGTCTAAAAAGTTTAATTTGTTGTCGATTTGTGTTTCATGTGTGAACTGAATGCTCTTATTGTAATTGTTAAAGGTATCGATTATTATATCTGATTGTTCTTTGTCTATTATAAAAAAAGTGTCATCTACATATCTAACGTAAAAATATATTTGGAAATTTAATGTGGAGAAAACGGAAATTTCAAGGGTTTGTAAAACTAGGTCTATGATGCCAGGGGATAATGGGCAACCCATAGCAGTACCTTTGATTTGTAGATAAAAATTATTGAAACAATTAAAATAAGAGCAATTCAGGACAGTGTTAATGATGTGTTTGAAAGTGGTTATGGGCAAGTCGGTGTAGTTACAAATAGTGGGCCAGCGTTTTTCAATTGAATCAAGTATTAAATCATGGGGAACACATGTGAAAAGGTTAATTACATCAAGGCTTAGAAAAATTTGATCGTCCGTAATGTTTCGGTCTTTGATTAGATCCACAAATTGGTAAGAGTTCTTTACATAGTGAGGAGAGGAAATTGTGACATTTTTTAAAATATTAGCAATGTGTTTAGCGATATTATAGAATGGGGAGCCAACGTAGGATACAATGGGTCTAAAGGAGCATTCAGGTTTGTGGACTTTGGGGAGACAATACATTTTTGGGGAAATAGGATGTTGTACTTTTAAATTATAGGCAAATTTGTCAGAAATGAATTTTTTATTTTTTAATTCATTAATTAATTTAATTGATTGTCTAGAAAACTGTTGTGTTGGATCATTTGTAATGATTTTGTAAGTAGTATCATCTTTTAGCATTCGTAATGTAGTGTTAGTATAAAATTCTTTGTCAAGAATTACCGTCATATTGCCTTTATCTGCTGGACAAACAATTATATTATTAGATTTAATGAATAATTTGGTCTCCGCTATATCTTTGTGTAGTCTTTTAAGATGAATATGTTGGAAACTCTTATCAACTTTTTTTAATTGTTTAACTAGTTTTTCACATAGTTTTGACCTGATTCGATTTTGCTTGTCAGTCTCAATGTTCCTGATATTGTATTCTATGTTACTTAAAATTTTTATGAAGTCATTATTTCTGTATTTACTAGGTGCGTAATTGAATTTTGGACCGAGTGCTAAAATGTATTGGATATTTTCTGGAATGACTATATTGGTTTTATTTATTAGCCATTTGTCTATCGAAAATTTAGAAACATGAAATGGATAATTTTTATCTCGAATTTGTATAAGATTTTTCAATTTCTGTATTTGTTTATTTTAATAATATGAAAGTGTTTATCGTATTTTTTATTTTCGAATTCTAAAAATTTATTAAAAGTATTTTTATCTATTGTTTCTCGGAGTGTATTTATTATCTGATCTATTCGTGTTTTTTTATTTTTTATGTCAATAAAAGAATTTTTTATTTCTAATTTAAGTACTGAATTTTGTAAGTATGATATTTGCCGCTCAATTTTATATATATTTGAAGTTGTTTGTAAAAACTGTTGGTTGATAATATTAGTTATGAAATTCGGTATAATCCATTCATTTTTACATCGTAATAAAAATATTTTTTTGTTGATGCAAAAGCCATCAACAAAAAAATATTTTTATTACGATGTAAAAATGAATGGATTATACCGAATTTCATAACTAATATTATCAACCAACAGTTTTTACAAACAACTTCAAATATATATAAAATTGAGCGGCAAATATCATACTTACAAAATTCAGTACTTAAATTAGAAATAAAAAATTCTTTTATTGACATAAAAAATAAAAAAACACGAATAGATCAGATAATAAATACACTCCGAGAAACAATAGATAAAAATACTTTTAATAAATTTTTAGAATTCGAAAATAAAAAATACGATAAACACTTTCATATTATTAAAAATAAACAAATACAGAAATTGAAAAATCTTATACAAATTCGAGATAAAAATTATCCATTTCATGTTTCTAAATTTTCGATAGACAAATGGCTAATAAATAAAACCAATATAGTCATTCCAGAAAATATCCAATACATTTTAGCACTCGGTCCAAAATTCAATTACGCACCTAGTAAATACAGAAATAATGACTTCATAAAAATTTTAAGTAACATAGAATACAATATCAGGAACATTGAGACTGACAAGCAAAATCGAATCAGGTCAAAACTATGTGAAAAACTAGTTAAACAATTAAAAAAAGTTGATAAGAGTTTCCAACATATTCATCTTAAAAGACTACACAAAGATATAGCGGAGACCAAATTATTCATTAAATCTAATAATATAATTGTTTGTCCAGCAGATAAAGGCAATATGACGGTAATTCTTGACAAAGAATTTTATACTAACACTACATTACGAATGCTAAAAGATGATACTACTTACAAAATCATTACAAATGATCCAACACAACAGTTTTCTAGACAATCAATTAAATTAATTAATGAATTAAAAAATAAAAAATTCATTTCTGACAAATTTGCCTATAATTTAAAAGTACAACATCCTATTTCCCCAAAAATGTATTGTCTCCCCAAAGTCCACAAACCTGAATGCTCCTTTAGACCCATTGTATCCTACGTTGGCTCCCCATTCTATAATATCGCTAAACACATTGCTAATATTTTAAAAAATGTCACAATTTCCTCTCCTCACTATGTAAAGAACTCTTACCAATTTGTGGATCTAATCAAAGACCGAAACATTACGGACGATCAAATTTTTCTAAGCCTTGATGTAATTAACCTTTTCACATGTGTTCCCCATGATTTAATACTTGATTCAATTGAAAAACGCTGGCCCACTATTTGTAACTACACCGACTTGCCCATAACCACTTTCAAACACATCATTAACACTGTCCTGAATTGCTCTTATTTTAATTGTTTCAATAATTTTTATCTACAAATCAAAGGTACTGCTATGGGTTGCCCATTATCCCCTGGCATCATAGACCTAGTTTTACAAACCCTTGAAATTTCCGTTTTCTCCACATTAAATTTCCAAATATATTTTTACGTTAGATATGTAGATGACACTTTTTTTATAATAGACAAAGAACAATCAGATATAATAATCGATACCTTTAACAATTACAATAAGAGCATTCAGTTCACACATGAAACACAAATCGACAACAAATTAAACTTTTTAGACGTGACTGTACACAAAATTGACAACATTATTTGCACAAATTGGTACAGAAAAACTACATGGTCCGGGAGATACCTTCATTACGCGTCATATTGTCCCAAAAATTATAAAGTCAATACAATCATTTCTTTGATAGACCACGCAATCATGTTGTCTCACTCTTCTTTTCATACCCAAAATACAACATTAGTAACTAAAACTTTATTAGAAAACGGATATCCCCTCACCCTCATCAATTCCATTACCAATAAAAGACTTTCCTATCATAAAAGTAACAATTATCAATCCATCTCCAAGTTATTCCAAGACAACAATATTAAACCAACTTTTCACAGCATGCCTTACATTGAAGGCTTATTTGATTATTTTGCCAAATTACTCAAAGAAGAAAATATTTTCATTTCAGGAACAGCTCTATATTCTTTTAAAGAAATGTTTTCAAAAATTAAATCCACCACCCCTCCTAAATTCAATACTAACATAGTTTATTCCATCCCTTGCAAAAATTGTCAAAAACAATACATTGGCCAAACATCACAGTACATTCATAAGAGAATGAGACAACATGAATTAAGCGTCACTCATCATAAAAGCCGAAATTTCCAAAGTACTCTTGTTCAGCATTCCATCGAAAACTCACATAATTTCACCTTTGAACCCAATATTTTATATAGAGAGGATTGTACTTTTAAAAGACTTTTTTCTGAAAGCAGTTTAATCTTTTTGAATTCGTCAAAAAGTGTTAATAAAAGATCAGATCACAATATCATTCATGACTCATATTTAAATTTTTTAAACCTGATTAAAAATAATTAATCCTAATAGTTTTTGAATATGTGTATATATATACATGTGTATATGTTATAATATATGTACATCCATATATATGCTTATATGTATGTTTTTGGGTATACACTATACACATACACTTGCATATGTGTTCATGTGTATAATTGTGGATACATTAATATATAGATATGTGCATATGTATGTATGAGTATGTAGGTGTGCATATACATGTTCATGTATATATATATATATATACATAATATTTCTCTACATTTACTAAAGCAATATTTTTCCTTTTTTCGTAAATTACCAAACAAGAGCCATAAAAAATCATTTTTGCCAAGAGTTCCGTGCTTTGTCCTTTACATCTGGCAGACAGAAATCCATATCAGTGTGTTTAAGTCTTGTGTAGTCGTAACATCTACAAATATCTTCCAAAAAAATCGAGTGTTTTTAACAAAAAAAATATTAGTGATATGGATATATAAATTATTACAGGTAAATAATTTTTGCTTCTCAATTTTATATAAAACCTTTTTTAGTTAAGTCTTATTACTATCTATCCGGTACATAATCCATTCCTTTATAACAAAATTTTTTCTAATTAATCTGTATTGACCATTGTTAATTAATGTTAATCAGTATTTTAAAAAACATTGTATTTGACAGAATAAACCTGATGATGGAACGTACCTAGTTCCGAAACGTCGTATTAAACATCTTCAAAAAACTAATTGTTTTTTATTATTGGATTTACTGTTCGGAAAAGAAACAATCAATATATATATATATATATATATATATATATATATATAATTATAATATATATATAATATATATAATTATATATATATATATATATATATATATAATTTGTTTTGGAAATAGATAGGTTCCATTATCTGTTTTACTGTGAAAAACAAAATTTTGTTAACTATTAATGAATTGATTAAATATATAATAAGGGATATTATACACGTGAAAAATTATGAGATGATATATGTATTATATATATATATATATATATATATATATATATATATATATATAAATTATTCATAAGAGTAAATTTAATATAATAGATTAAAGTATTTATTACAGAAAATGTCTTTACTATAAATTAATTGAATATGTAATGGAAATATGTATATCATAAATTATGATTCATAGTACAGCTAAATATGATTTATGTCGATATTTGAACGAAAACTTTAGTATAGATTTTCAATGAATTATGCACTGTACTGATTAGTTCTTTAAATTGATTTGACGGTTTTTATTTTATTTTCAACCCCCCGTTGATGTTACTTTAAAATTCCTCGGTAAATTGCATATGAATTTTGCTTTATTGTTTATTTACTATTTTAAAAATATAATATGAAGCTATTTTAGAACTATTTTACCATTTATTAACTTTCTGTATGGTAAGTTATTGTAATCGTCCAAAAATCAAAATTGAAAATTTTCACATTTCTTCACGTTTGAAAGGTTTCTGAACATTTTGACCTAAGAAAAAATGAATGTGGGTGTGTATGTATGTATGTGTGTATACAATTCTTCGTCCACGTTTTCGGGCGCACGGATCAACCGATTTGAACGGTTCAAAAAACATTCGATTCCAATGGATAGGGAGATGTGCTGATTATATATATATATATATATATATATATATATATATATATATATATATATATATATGATGATAGTTTTGTCGACGTTGATACATATTTGTAATATTTTTGCAGCCCAACCGTCGAATTAAAAAAAGATTAAATAACAAAATTATTTATTCCATTAAACGTATATATATATACATTCTTCTTTTATCTATATGTATATATATATATATATATATATATATATATATAACGCTTTATATCATCAGCGACATGACGTCAATCTTGCAAACTAAACATTATTTAACAGAAAACTATAAGAATATGATAGCGGATGTCATTCGTGTTTACAATTTATTATAAGGATTGTGCAAAAGCATAGTTTTGTCTTATTTTGGCGATCAGCGTTTGAGTTAGAATGTTGCAAAATGTTTTTGAGTGAGTTTTGCTTTATGTCGTTTGTTTCTAAAGTAGTTATAAACGTTATTATAAAAGCTTTAGTTTTTAGGTTATGACAATGTGTCGTTACACATTACACTTTTAAATGAAAATGACACATGCGATTACCGCGTAAAATAAACCGCGAAAAACATTTTACGTATACTATCATTATTAAAATATATTTGTGAACAGAAGTGTAGATACATTTATTTCTCCAATTTGTTTTTCTTGATAAAAACTATACTTGTCCGCAATTTTAAATTTGTAACAAGAATTCATTTTATTTAAATTTTATATATTTTTTAGAGTATTGTCTTTTCGTTAAAAATAAAGATTTTCTTAAATTATCTTTTTTCTTAATTTTTCTTAAATTCTCCATTTTTATAGAAACACTCATATCAAAAATGACTTCATT